CAATTAATGTAAATGGGTCTAGATAGTGTCACGACCCACTAAACGCTCAGCCATCGCACTCTCCAAACCTTCCCACCGGACTCGACAACCGTCTAACCTCCTCCCCTATATTGTTACGCCAGAGCAATTTTGGAGGGATAAATATGGAAAGCTTCAGTATTCTTACTTGGAGAGGTGACTGGTGGGTTATTTAGTTTATTTGACAGTAATGTGCTCTTAACCATCAGTTCATTTGGTTGATCTTCTAGGTTGACTTTTGAGTTGATTAAAGATATATAGCTATACTTTTTGTTGCTTTTGTTATGAAACTCCTTTTAAGTATCATCATTTTCCTGATTTGAAATATTTTTGTGTTTAGATTACAATAAATATGGAAAGATTGAGTGATATTGGTGTGTCGAATACGGATAAAAAGTGCAATTAATGTAAATGGGTCTAGATAGTGTCACGACCCACTAAACGCTCAGCCATCGCACTCTCCAAACCTTCCCACCGGACTCGACAACCGTCTAACCTCCTCCCCTATATTGTTACGCCAGAGCAATTTTGGAGGGATAAATATGGAAAGCTTCAGTATTCTTACTTGGAGAGGTGACTGGTGGGTTATTTAGTTTATTTGACAGTAATGTGCTCTTAACCATCAGTTCATTTGGTTGATCTTCTAGGTTGACTTTTGAGTTGATTAAAGATATATAGCTATACTTTTTGTTGCTTTTGTTATGAAACTCCTTTTAAGTATCATCATTTTCCTGATTTGAAATATTTTTGTGTTTAGATTACAATAAACAAAAACTATTTCTGATTAGTGTTAACATAGAGAATAGCTTCAATCATACCACTTTTACACAAATATTATATGGAAGAGCTGAGTTCGTTGCAATTGAACTATTAAAACTATAATATTGATCTTCAACATATAAAACATGGTTTCTTTTTAGTGAAATGACCTCATGATTGCTGATAAGCATTTAGAATATGATCTTTCGTGATAGTGGTCACTTGCTTCCAGATTTAAAAGTGGAGTTCTAATTACTACAACATAAAAGGCACGAGGTATAGTCATAATTGGAGTAGATACAAGCCACAAGGTGGTTTGATATTCTTCTCTCTGCAAGGAATAAATACATGGTGAGCATATGTTGTCATGGGAAGGATTAATCGAACTCTTTGTGTTTAATTTTTAGTATAGCATGTTGAAATATACACACGTTTAGACCTGACCAATTGGACATCTCCACCTGGAATTTATTGACAGGATTTTGCTCATCAAATTGCATGCCAAGTATGCTCCCTCTTTAATCCTTCTATTTTTCTTAATCTGCACATGCACACCCTCGTAGGAAACATGTACATAATGTATTTTGGGTGCTTCATTAGTGTTGTTTGTAAAAGTTATATTATATGAGTTGTTTATTCTGGAATTGTGAATCGTTATTGTATCTCCTCTAAGAAATTATCAAGTTAAGCTATGAAAGAGACTAACCTGAGCTTCTTCTTTAATTTAGATGATAAGAGAGCAATGACCCACGTCAAATTGATTTGGGGTTGATGAGGCCTGAGAAATGTTTTAGGCTTCTTCAGAGCAACACAAGATCCTAATAGTATCTCAACCAAAGCAAATTTTGTTGTCATGCCTGATGTTGATACAAGTCGTTTACCTAGAGGAGAGCCCCAACAAGTTCGCTCTTGGAGTTGCGATGCAAAAATGGGTACGGCAGAAACAATGTATACAAAAGACCATTTGTTCACGAAGCCACCGAGGATAAGAGAGGAATCACCATTTGTTCTCTAAATTTTACAAGGCTATTATACTTACAATTTCTTATATTTCATGTAAATACGTATTATGAATGAAGTGATATTACCTCAAACCATAAATTGCAGCAAAGAATGGTCATTTCGATTAATGTGTCCTGATACAAAATGTCATGTAGCCGCCACGAAGGAGTAATAGAGAACCAATCAATGTGTTTGTTGTCGAGAAGGATAAGAATCATGATAACAGAGAGATTACACGACGATTGACTTATACAGATCGAAGAGATAGAAAGTACAGAGTTGTAAGTCATTTGTGTGTTTAGTGTCGCAAAGTGAGGAGTGATTTTGTAGGATTTCACATTGGTAGGGGCATTGACAAAAGTTGTTATCTGTTGGTGTTTCCAGACATATTTTGCTTGTGTGTTTCTTTTGTTTGTATATGAGATTTCTACAACAGATTGCATCCCATCGACTTGATTTGGATATTGCTGGTTTTGGTTTTCTCAGTGAGGAATTCATCGCCTTTGGTGTCAATGTGGTTTTTGGTCTAAGGGAAATCAAGATTGAGGTTTTTTTATGAAATCTCTTGGTGGTTTCCATTTTCACCATCTGGAATTGGAGCCATGTAAGCGTTTCTTTGGTTTTTTCATGTTCACTCTAGGGGCATCAGGGTGCTTGGCAATAGTGGCTAGATTTAGGGCTAATGATTTTGTTTGGATTGTCCATTATAGTGTTTATATTTTACTGTTTCTTTTGTAATGCAATGAGATAATGACTTTCCATCATATTATTATTGTATTGTTTACCTACCATCGTAGCATACATGCTCATTGATAGTATCAGTTAGAATCATAAATTCATTATACCAATTTTGAAGACTACATCCGGCTAAAGGACCGGGTAATAAGCTATATATTTTTTAAGGAGGGTTCAAAATTCTTCATGTAATCTCTTTTGAAATTTCTCTCGAAACCAATATCAGGCCGCAAGAGCTGCAAAAACCATTTCTCATTGCTTCTTTGATTGCAGGATCGCTCGAGGGATATGGGCACTAGCTGGAAAAGACCACATCCGATCAGCCATGGCTGCTGTTGACAATGACCTGGCCTGGCACAATTTGTTTTTTCTATGAAGCTATCCAAACTCGACATGGCATAAGTGGTGTTTCTTGTTTGGAGGGTCTGGAAAGGTAGGTGATGGACCACGTACGACAACATTCAGTATTTGTCTGGGCCTTTGCGCCGTCAATTTACAAACCAGGTTGATGAATGGAGAGAAGCTACTGCAGCTCCGACCTCTCAACCCTAGTCTGCGAGAGCTCCTCGTCTCCCTCCTCCACCTCCTACTTGCCCACCAGGCGGTCTCCTTATTTGGTTTGATGGGGCAACAAGGAAGGGTGTAGGCGGCAGCATTAGATTTGTCGGTTTCACTAGGGATCGATCGGTTGTCTGTGCATACGATAAGTACTACGATGGGCTCTCGGACCCATTTCTGCTTGAACTATTAGCATTAAGGGATGCAATGATATGGAGCTTACACTGTGGTCATTCTTCTGTTTGTTTTTGTGGGGATTCACAATTGGTCTTACACCGAGCGATGGAGGATGATGTCAACCATGATCGAGGAGGTGTTGTACTCGAAGAAGTCGCGTAATGAAGTCCTCTTTTGCATTTGTTTCATTTGTTTTTACTCCTCGTAGTACTAACAGGGCTGCCCATCGCGTGGCACAAACGGCCCTTGCATCGGTAGCGTCCCAGTTGGTTGACTACCGCCTTTATATTTCCAATGCATTGTAACAAACTATCTAAGACAAAAAAAATATCAGGCCGCAAAATCTCTCCATAAGTAACCTCTCTCATGTCTCATTCCAATTCCATACAACCCCTTCATTTTGTTTAGATCTTTAGTTTGGGGTTTAATTGCATGGTTGGTCACTAAGATTACAAAAAACGTTCATGTTTGGTCACTCGAAATATTTAAATCCATTTTTGGTCATTAACTTTACAAAAACCGTTCATTTATGGTCACTCTCCGTTAGCTGTCGTCCAACGCCGTTAACGGCGTCCGTTAAGTGATAACGTGGCTGACGGATTCGCCTAATCAGCACCTTTTAACCCGAAAATTGACTGACCCGACCCACCACGTCATTTAAACCCTCCATGTCAGCTAAACCTAACCAAACCAGACCAGACCCAACCCACCTATCTTAATGAAAACAGAGCATGTACTCGTCGGAGGCAGCATGTTGTGGATGTTGGGCATCACGCTGTTGTTAGCGATGGTGACGGATCCAAGAAGCTTGCTCAACTCCTCGTCGTTCCTCACCGCCAACTACACATGTCTCGGGACGACTCTCGTCTTCTTGTTATCTCTCGCCGGAACACGTCTTCCCTGGAATTGATGACCTCGAAGAGGTGCTCCGCCGTGGACCGGTCCACCGCCCGACCCGCCCTACGCCATATCCGGATCTGGATCTTGTCCCGGAATTGGCCGTAGCTGTCTTGTAGAAGGGCGGCGAAGACGCTCCCCCAGGCATCGGCGCCGACACCGACGATACGGAGAGGGTCGACGTCGGCTTTGCCCAGTAGACGCCGCAGCTCGTCGAGCTTCTCTTCATGCCCGGAATTGGCGCCGTTGGTTGATTGGTGAGTTGGTGAGTTCCCATTCTGCTTATGATGATGATTATCGGGACTCCCCGTTGTTTCAATGTTTCCCACCATTTCCTTTCCTTTCCTCCCTTCTCCCCTTTCTTCTTCTTTCAATCGCAGTCACGAATTAGGTTTGTTCCAGAAATCAAAAACGAAAACAATCCAGAATCGGAAACTTTGTACGGGTTTCCCCCTTTTGAGAAATCGAAGTGGGGAACACGATGGGAAGGGGAATTCAAATGATGACAGATTAGGGATGGCAAAAATATCCGTAACCGTGGTTATCCGTCCGAACCCGGCCTAATCGGGTAGGGTAAAACCCGAACCCGAAGTACATTTAGTGGGTACGGGTAAAACCCGAACCCAAATATTGCGGGTAAATGGGTGGGCATGGGTTTCTCAATATCCAACCCGAACCCGCACGATTATACACATACATATGTATTTTGTCTAGAAATAGTCATTATTTTTCTCTAACATATTTTATATTTAGCATATAAATATAATATTTTCATGAAATTGTGTTGTTTTAATTAATTTTCTTCATTCTAGTGAATTATTGTCATACTTTTCCTCTTGCGTAATGTGAGAATACGTGTGAATGTTAATATATTAGTTGGAGTTATGAAGAGAAATCATTACCCATGGATAACCGTGGATACCCGAAACCCGCACGGGTATGGGCATGGTTTTAATTTTCTACCCGTTTCATATGTGGGTATGGGTATGGGTAAAACCCGAACTACTTTGGGTAGGGTAACGGATATGCACTATCCGTCCCCGACCCGACCCATTGCCATCCCTATGACAGATCCAAGCAGCTTGCTCAACTCCTCGTCGTTCCTCACCGCCAACTGCACGTGTCTCGGGACGACTCTCGTCTTCTTGTTATCTCTTGCCGCGTTTCCAGCCAATTCCAGAACCTTGAGAGAGAGAAAAAATCACCGAAGCAACGACGGTTAGGTTCTAGATCTGAGAATTCTCAGCGATTCGAATTGAGAAGAGGAGCGAGTGGGGAAATTACCTCGGCAGCGAGGTACTCGAGGACGGCGGCAAGGTAGATGGGAGCTCCGGCACCAACGCGCTCAGCGTACTTGCCGGTCTTCCAGAAGCAAGCGACGCGGCCGACGGGGAACTGCAGGCCGGCTTTGGTGCTCCTGGTGGTGCTCTTCTTGTCCTTGACGGAGCCAAACGCTTTTCCTCTTCCGACCATCGGAGAAGTTGAGATGGGAATTCGAGAATTTGGAAGTTTGGGTGCGATTCGGTCTCCCAAAACCCTACGTTTTCGCCTCGAACACAGAAAACCTCCGCCCGATGGAGGAAAGGAGAGCTGGAAATTAAGCAGAGAAGGAGTGATTCGGTCTTCATCAATTTTTTGTTTTATTTTTAAGAGGAGTGATCCGTCACCATCGCTAACAGCGGCGTGATGCCCAACATCCACAACATGCTGCCGCCGACGAGTAGATGCTCTATTTTCATTAAGATAGATGGGTTGGTGGGTTGGGTCGGGTCGGGGTTGGTCTGGTTTGGTTAGGTTTAGCTGACATGGAGGGTTTAAATGACGTGGCGGGTCGGGTCAGTCAATTTTCGGGTTAAAAGGTGATGATTAGGCGAATCCGTCAGCCACGTCATCACTTAACGGACGCCGTTAACGGCGTTGGACGGCAACTAACGGAGAGTGACCATAAATGAACGGTTTATGTAAAGTTAATGACCGAAAATGAATTTAAATATTTTGAGTGACCAAACATGAACGTTTTTTGTAATCTCAGTGACCAACCATGCAATTAACCCTTTAGTTTGGTATTCATTTTGTTACAACCTCCATAGTCCAGTGACTATTTTTGACATTTCGAGAGAACATACCAGGTCCTTCTAGAGTGCAGACTGCAGCGACTACCAATTCCTTGCCAAGTTGCTAGCAACTCCCTTCAAAAGGACAAAAATAACACAGAACTCCATTAACCCATCTTATCCATACATCTCTCCGCCCGCTCTAAAACCCTAATCCCCTTCTTCCGGCCTCGCCTTCCTTTCACTGCTTCCGGGTAACCTTCTAGCTCCTTCCCTCTCTGCTCTGGGTTTCCAGTAAGTGTTGCTTGGTTTATGTTCTTTGCTGAAATGGGGGATTTTCTCAGTTGCAATCTTTTTGGGTTTTTTGTTCGTTTTTCCTTCAAATACCCGCTTCCCATTTATCCATTTTCTATACCGGTTCACATTGTTTAGTTTTACCTATAGTTTCTCAATGTTATCTGCTGCTGTTGCAGATAAGATGGCTTCAACCTTCACCACCATGTCCTCTGTTGGATCCTTGGCCGCCCCTGCTATGGATAAGAGACTAGCTGCGTGTCCATCGAACAAGCTGTCTTCACTTGCTTCAGTTTCTGGAAGCTCATTCGGGAGAAGAAGGCAGAACGTTGTTTTGAGGAATTCACGCTTGCCAATGACTTGTAAGGCGGCCAAGGAGTTGCATTTCAACAAAGATGGCTCAGCGATTAAGAAGCTGCAGACTGGTGTGAACAAGCTTGCCGACCTTGTTGGAGTAACACTGGGGCCTAAGGGCCGTAATGTCGTTCTTGAAAGCAAGTATGGATCCCCGAAAATCGTCAATGATGGTGTAACTGTTGCTAAGGAGGTTAGCTATTTACTTCTCAAATCGATTGTCTTTGTTGTTCTCAAATGGCCTTTCTAAGGTATATTAGCTTGAGAATTGACTCTTTCACTCTAAGTTTCCAGGTTGAATTGGAGGATCCGGTTGAGAACATTGGTGCCAAGTTGGTACGACAGGCTGCTGCCAAAACTAATGACTTGGCTGGTGATGGCACTACGACATCGGTTGTCCTTGCACAAGGCCTTATCGCTGAAGGCGTTAAGGTAGCTGTATGGGTTTATCGGGTGCCGGATTTTCTCTTTCAATCTAGCTTCTGGACTTATGTTGGTGCTCTTTCCTTTTCCAGGTTGTGGCAGCTGGTGCAAACCCTGTTCTAATTACTCGTGGCATTGAGAAGACAACCAGGGCTCTTGTCAAAGAACTTAAGTCAATTTCGAAGGAGGTAATGCAGATGGTGTACACAATAGTTTGATGACTAATTTGTCAGTGTTCAACTAATCACAGGAAATGACGATTTCAGGTTGAAGACAGTGAACTCGCTGATGTTGCTGCAGTTAGTGCTGGAAACAATTATGAAATAGGGAATATGATTGCTGAAGCAATGAGCAAAGTTGGTCGAAAGGGTGTTGTGACTTTGGAAGAGGGTAAAAGTGCAGAGAACAACCTTTACGTTGTGGAGGGAATGCAGTTCGACCGTGGTTACATCTCACCTTACTTCGTTACCGATAGTGAGAAAATGACGGTTGAATTTGATAACTGCAAGGTATGAAGTTTACGATTGCTTGAGCAGTGTATAAAAATCTGTATGTGGTTGAATATTATAATGTTAAAATTTGAGTTCTTTTGGGCTGCTGCAGCTGCTTCTTGTTGATAAAAAGATAAGCAACGCAAGGGATCTTGTTAGCGTCCTGGAAGATGCAATTAGAAGTGGATTCCCCATCGTGATAGTTGCTGAAGATATTGAACAGGAAGCTCTTGCAACGCTTGTTGTGAACAAGCTTAGAGGGGCACTGAAGATTGCTGCTCTGAAAGCTCCTGGGTTTGGAGAGAGGAAGAGCCAGTATCTTGATGACATTGCTATTCTTACAGGAGGTCAGTTTCAAGTCCTCAGTGTTAGTTGCTGTGTGATTCTTCTTGTTAAAGCTGTCATTTTGCCAATGATTCTGAGGAAGCGTCTATTCCATTTTTCAGGAACTGTTATCAGAGAGGAGGTGGGTCTATCATTGGACAAAGTTGGCAGGGAGGTGCTAGGAACTGCTTCGAAAATCGTCCTAACAAAGGATACTACGACAATTGTTGGCGACGGGAGTACCCAGGAAGCAGTAAACAAGAGAGTTGCACAAATTAGAAACCTCATTGAGGTTTGTTCTTGGTCCTACCAGCTTCTCTAAATGCTGTTTTGGAGATGTGTCAGAGGATCTGTTCTCTAATTACTTGAGAGATTAATTGGTTGCAGGCTGCAGACCAAGATTACGAGAGGGAGAAACTCAATGAGAGAATTGCAAAGCTGTCTGGTGGTGTTGCTGTGATCCAGGTAAACAGTCAATTATATTATTTTACTTTGGGTGTGTAAGCTGAATCATTGCAACTCGTTAAATTTTAGTTCTGCATGGAAGCTGCTCCTTTTTGCTGTAATAATTAGAAAATGCTTGTACTGGTTAGGTTGGGGCACAAACTGAGACGGAGCTGAAAGAGAAAAAATTGAGAGTTGAAGATGCTTTGAATGCAACTAAGGTATCCTGTCTTTAACACCGATAGTGCTTCCACTCTCCACAGTCTATCAACTAACTAGTTTAACAGTTAAATTTACTATAATGTGTTGCTGTGGAAACTATATTTCAGGCAGCAGTGGAGGAAGGTATCGTAGTTGGTGGTGGTTGCACTTTGCTCAGACTAGCATCAAAAGTAGATGCTATTAAGGACAGTCTTGAAAATGACGAAGAAAAGGTAAAACATTTGGTTTGGTTAGTGCTGATCATCTTGTACATGTAAGTTTGCAATATGGCTGAATCGTGGGTGTTTCCTTTGTCCTGTAGGTTGGTGCTGATATTGTAAAGAGAGCTCTGAGTTATCCGTTGAAACTAATTGCCAAGAATGCAGGAGTGAACGGCAGTGTAGTGAGCGAGAAGGTATGTAGAACTATGTCGTCCCTTTATTTATTTATTATTATTATTATTATTATTTTTTTTTTTTTTTTTTTTTTGCTGCGAGTTCTGAGACACCAGGAAAATTGAGCAAAATGCTGATGTTTGTGTATGCATGTGTGCAATAAAATATAATAAAGGTACTATCGAGTGATAATCCTAAGTACGGGTACAACGCTGCAACCGGGAAGTATGAGGATCTAATGGCGGCTGGAATCATTGATCCAACCAAGGTGGTGAGGTGCTGCCTGGAGCATGCCTCCTCCGTGGCAAAGACATTTTTGATGTCTGACTGTGTAGTGGTCGAGATCAAGGAACCCGAGCCAGTGGTTGCCGGGAACCCCATGGACAATTCAGGTTAGAGGCTGCACAATTTTCCCTGAACTTTCTACCCATTCATTGATTTGTTTTGGAAGCAAATTGCTTGCTTAAGTAGTTACCCGTACTTAAATCTCGGTATGGTTTTTGCTTGTTGCAGGATATGGATATTAATGAGGATATAGAGGAAAAAGGAAGCAACATGTAGAAGAATAAAGAGGCAATATATTTCAGGGGAGCCATTGCAAGCAGAGAGAGTGAAGGAATTTGGCGTTTCAACGCTTATGATATTTGATTGCGGTGAGTTTAGGGAGAGGGTAGAGCTTTTTGATTCTGAATGGATGCAAGTTATGTTGTAGGCTCTTCTGTATGAACCAAATTTCAGTCATTGCAGTAAGTTTCCATGCATCCTTACATACACAACAACCATTGCCATTATTAGTTGGAATGAACTGATTTTTGTAGAACCAAATTTCAGTCAAGCAGCAGGTTCCTGAGCCAGCTTTAGCCCATGGCTACTACATATAGGTGAAATGATGGAATTGGATGTTGTTTCTAGTTTATGGGTTCTCTTAAGAATATTGAGGAAAGAACAAAACAAATCTGCATAGGAAGGTGCTGAACTGAATCAATGTACGTCACATTGGACTCTAGTTCTCATTCAAATTTGCATTTGGCTCGATACTATTACGACCTAATTTGATTCTGGAACACATTGAATTATGCCTACAGCCAACATATGCAGCTCCTCAGCTTTTTTCCTTCTTTTTCTTGTCGCAGTTCATTTTTCATTTGTGACTTTGTAACAAGAGAATCTAAATCCTTTTGGCAACTTCATTATAAAAAAGGCAAAAGGAAAAAGTAAAGAGAAAAAAAATGTTCAATTAGAGCTCTACAACCAAATATCCTCAAGTCGGACCTAGATTATCTTCTTTCCCTTTATATTTGATCCGGTCTATACTACCATCCAACTTGATTCGAGAGCAGATTGAGCCAGGTCCATCAGGGGTGGGAATCGGTCGGTAAATCGTTTACCGAATTTACCGGTTTCGGTATACCGAGGGTGGCCAAACTGTTTACCGTTTACCGATATCGGTTTGTAACTGGTTTACCGATTACCAAACTACCGCTAAACGGTTACAAACCGGTTTACCGAATTACCGCAAAGGACGAAGTGGGGCGGTTTTTCGGTTCGGTTTACTGACTATTTACCGAACCGAAATTCTGTTAGTGAGGGAAGGGAGACTAGGTCTGGGTTTTAAATCGCCGATTGGGAAGGGAGACCAAGTCGCCGATTGGAGGGGAGGGAGGGTGAGGGTTTCAGGGCCAGGTCGCCGTCGGCGGGGAAGCGGGAAGGTGGCGGCGGGAAAGCAGGGCCGTCGGTGGGGAAGCCGGAAGGTGGCGGAGCCGCGGAGGATTGGGAAGTGCTGGTCGCGTCGCGGCGTCGGCGAGGGAAGGGCGTTGGCGAGGGAAGGGAAGCGGGTGAGGGATTCAGGAATCAGGGCCGTCGTCGTCGTCAGCAGAAGGAGCGGCGTCCGGCGAAGAGGAGAAGAGGAGAGGTGGCTGCGCGCAGGGCTGCTCTCTCTACCTCTGCGATTTCGAAACGAAGAAGGAAGGGTGGCGGCGGGTCGCTGCTGCAGTGCTGGGCGGGTATTTTTTAGAACTAGGGTTGAAATCTTTGCCAAATAAAACGACTTCGTTTTGGGGTTCGATATCGGTATTACCGATTTACCGTCGATATTTACCGATACCGAATTCGGTATACCGACCCACCCAATTCGCCGCTCGGCCGCCGATACCGCCAGTAAACTGTATACCGTTTACCGCCGGTAAACGGTTCGGTAAAACGGTAAACTGTTTACCGGCGTACCGAATTCCACCCCTAATCATAGCCTACAAATTTACAGACCTCATAGTCTAGTGAATATTTAGACATTTAACCTCTCAATTCACTAGCGTGGGTCCGGCCAGTTGGCCGGAGGAAGGTGAGGTATGAAATTTGATAATGTAATGGGGTGTATAGCTTATTGTTGTATAGTTTTTTTTGGGTAACACGTGATAAAAATAGTGAATTTTAGCAGGAAAGAGACATGAATGATGCAATGAATAAAAAATGGCCTTATGAACCAAAATCAAGTACATGTTACCTTGTGAAACAATATTGTTTCTGGTAATATGATGAGGTGGAGTAAGTTTTATAGAAACCAAATTCCAGAAAATCGAATAAAAAATCGCCTATCCCGTTGGTTTTCGGGAAATGAGCATCTCACAATCGTTGCTAGCTTTTACTCGGCCCGTTGGTCGATTAACTTGCTTTATAAAACTTTCATCTTGTCGTCATTGTGCTTTCTGGTTTTTGTTAGGCCATGATAAAATCTAATTTCTGGTTTTTGTTAGGCCATGATAAAATCTAAGGAAATCAAGAACGAACAACACGATTTGGGATAGGAACCGCCGTTGTCGTATCCCTAGAAAATGGTGTAAACATAGACTCACCTGCCAAACTGGTTTGGATTGAGATTTTTATCGGGTATCAGAGAACCATGTGATTATAAATAAGACTTGATCAAAACGGGCCAAAACTTGAAATTCAGCATGTTTGACCGACCCATGCCAAATTCTAATTATTCTTTACTTTTAAACTTTTTATTTGAAAATAAAAAATAGTGAAAGAAAAGAGATGACTGCAATTCGCCATTTGCACATCACTTATCCGGGAATAAAACCATAAAAATTCAAAAGGAACTGAAAATGTTTAGAATCGTTTTAATGTTTAAAATAACCAAATAGATCATTCTGTTTAGTTTTTTACTAACAAATACCAAACGATTCCCTATAAAATACACTATAATTTTATCATTATGATATCAAATAATTATATAATATATATGTGAAATGATAAAAATTGTATTAATTGGGTTGGTCGAGGTTGAACCATTGAATAACTTTAAAATGCATTATATTTAAGCCACTAAGATATAAAATAATAGCATAATATATATTATGCCAGAGAAAATAGCTTGTTTTAGAATGGCAAACCAATTATGTTCATTTATTTTACTTGATGGCCAAATCCCGTGTAGGTCAGGCCCATTCAACTCTTTTATTTTATGGTTAGCAGTTAGCCCATAGATACCATGCATTAGTTTATTGTTAAATTTTTTTATTTTTAGCAATAAAAAGGAGTATTGTTTTTGCTTTTCATATATATTTTATCACCACGGAGAAATAAAAGGGCTTAAAGAAAAAAATTGATACTCCTGGACCCGTTTAAATCCGCATGTGTACGGCAAGTTGGTCTGTTCCACAGAGGAAAGAGAAAAAAATTGACACTCCCTATTCTACCCTTCCTACAAACGCTCCTGGAACAGAGAATTTGAAATGGGGGAAAGGTTTTTTCCTCTCTGCTATTATATGTTTTTAATTTAAAAAGATACAACAAATGTACTTAGTGTGATTGGTTATGATCTTTGTTTTCTTTAAAGTGATCATGGTATGAATCCTAGTAAGTGTATTTTTAATGAATAAAAAAAATTAATTGTGAAGACCAAAATGTTCTTCCTACTTTCACTCTGGATGCAGGAAATTTGAAATGGGGCTTCAAGTTTTCTCATTTGGCTTTTATTTATTGTGTAGATGTAGATTAGTGTCCCTCCTCTACGTAAACTTACTATTTATACTAGCATCGGGTCCGCCCTGGGCGATGGGCCGGCACGGGCACGCTTCAGACCCATTTATTTCGTGTTGTGCTTGGTACGGCCTATTAGTTTTTGGGTCGTGCCATGCGAGCCCATTTGTTACTTTTGCTAGGCCCGGTCCAGGTCCGAGCATAACCATTTCAAAATTTTTAGATACCAAAATGTAAAATATAAAAAATATAGGTAGATCATCCCAGCACACCCGTAAACCGACGCGTGATCAAAATTTTGATCACAAGCCAAACCATTCCACAGCAATTGATCATCAACCCCTCGGAAACTCTCCGAACGCATCTCCAACACCTATGTCCATCTGCTGGTTTTGCTGTGCAGAGCAGAAAGCTGTTTTTTTGCCCTTGACAATTTCTATCTGAGATTGGACTTCCATTATCTGATTGTGGAGCTGGTAGATCATCCCACCACACCCGTAAACCGACGCGTATGCTCGCCTCATAGGACATGAAGTCTGCTGCTTTCCCTCTCATTTCCTCTGCTGCTTTTCATTACTGACTAATGAACAAGAAGTAGAAGCAAAAGGCTAGTCAGCGACATGAATAAGTAAATAGAATCAGTTGCATTGTTAGTTGATATTTATTTGAATGGCTGATATTGTGATCAGCATGCAGTAACTAATTTGACGTTCTGCTGTATTCTTACTGGTGGTATAGCTAATCTCAATCAAACCCAGAGCAGTGAGAGAGAAATGAGTTTTTTTTATCTAGATTATGGGAATCTTATAAACAGGGGGGACGGGGCCAGGATTTGAGGATTGGGGCCCGGACTTATATATTGTGTTATCACTTTTTTGCTAGGCTAGCCGCTAGAGGCGGATATCATGCATCAATATTGCACACAGCATTTATTTATACAAATCTTTTAGTTTATACGTAATAAAAAAAAAAAACATACAATGTAACTGCAAAATCGTGCAAACAAGCAAAACAACAATGTGTCTAAACTCGGTGAAACATAGTGTAACCAGCTCAGTTTCAACAAAATATCTCTTCACATTTCAGACAATTGACATTGCGCTGCATACCAACAGCCGAGGAGTATACAGAGCCAACCAAACAGCCCGCCTGGCCCAAGTCCTCCCGGTCCCGTTGCGCTCTAACCTTGTCAAGCAGGAAATGAACAACGGTCGCTGAGTATAACGTGCATTCAGCGTGCCTGCCTCAGGTCAAAGAATCCTAACTTCTCTAGGAAAAGAAGCGCAACTTCAGAATCTTTTATAGACCAGACCAAAAGCTGCTTCAAACTTGGGAAAGCAATTGGACTCAAGTTTCTAGTTCCAACCAATGTTTAACAAATCCTATCGTACGTACCGGCCAGACCGGAGATATTGAATACCGAACCCCAAACGATAGATGGTTTTAGCAGTACAAAATGATTGACCAACAATTAGTGTAAAATACCCTACCACTTACTTTTCCGGAGTATAACTTCATTTACTGTTTCATAATCATGGGTTTACAACCCAGTATTTTCCCCCGCTGCTCTTCCCACCTACCATTCACAACTACTACTAAGGTCCTCTCTTTCAAAAACACCAATCCGCCAAAACAAACACAGAACCAAGAGGTGGATGGATGTGTCTCCAAAAACTGATGGACCCCTTGGAGTGTTTCAAGCCATCTATGCTAAACAGTATTCTTTCCCTACCCTTGGTGTATCCTGACTCGTCATTACTAACTGCCTCTTTCTCCTGTTACAACTGTGTGATTTTGCTGTACATACTGCTCCACCAGGACCTTATCAAAACGCTTCACATTATAGCTGCCAGACCCACGGGCTCTCCATCGTCGATTCTTGCCTCTGTGGCAGCAGTTACTGAGCTACGAGGCCTTGCTGGAAGTCGGAAGACACGGGTCAATGATCATATCACACCAGTCACAAATTATCAGGCAGAAACCTATATGGTCTGACACTTTACCTGTAACGTTTGTGATGATATTTACAGTTTTCTGGGCAGCAAGAGCCTTCAACTTGTTCCCAGTAGCTACCATGAGTAAACTCCTCATGAGCTGCTTCTGTTCCTTTGGACTTAATGTCTTGGTCAAAGCTTCCTCAAAAGCAGCCAAATCGAGAGGTGAAATGCATGGAAGAGAGAGTAGAACCTGGGGACAGATGCGGGGGAAAACATCACATTTCTGATCCAACTGCCACACTAGATGCATTATCACTAGATCCTGAATATCTAAAATAAATTCCAGGATAAGCACCTGTCTAGGAGCAGGATCCCTGTCGCAAAGATATATGAAGATATCGCGACAAAGGCCAACCAAATCTGCACTGATTATAGCATTCGACTCGAGCATCAAACCTTTGATGGCTGCCGAGAAAAGATCCTTGCAGACAAACTGCTGTAGCTCGATGTTTCTTGTCGAGATTGATAAAACAACCACAGCAGCACAAAAAGAAGAAACTTTTGTCATGGACTCGCCAACCGTCCATGAGAAAGCCTCTATACATATCTGCAACACTGGAATGGCCAATCTATTGTTCTTCAACATGAAACTGCCAAAGATAAAATAAAATAAAATCACTCGATGTATGATCAAAAAAGTGAGAGAACAAATATATAAGTAGTATGGGTGTGCATAGGACCGGATCGGAAAGAAAGGACAAATTAGGACCAGAGACGGATCGTAAGTGCATTCAATCCGGTCCGGTCTTGATTCAGATAATGCACAACCCTACTACCTACTCTACTAAACATGAGAAGTTAAGGATTGTTTCTTGCTACACACGCGACCATAGAGTTGGAGAGAAAAGCATCCAAGTCCTTTAGAGAAGAAGTATCCACCAAACGGTTAATATGCCCGGATTGATCTAAAGATGGGAGTCCAGTATTAAGGCCTGGAGATGCCATGACTGATAGAAGAGCGCACATCTCCCGAGTTAAATCTCGGAGTAGCTTCTCCTCCATTACTTCCACTTTCAAGTCCGACGTGGCAACGATGCACTGCACGTCTGGAGCTTTAGCTCTGCCTTCGTGCAAAAGACTGGACCAAGAGAAGCTGAGGACTTGATGCAGGTTAATGAGTAAAGGATGGAGAAGCTTCTCCAGCCATATCTCCCACATTTCTGGAGGGCAAGATTTCACCAAATGAGTCAACACTGAATGAATGAGCTGCCTCATATGTCTGAACTCTGCTGACTGTATATTCTCCATGAGTGCCAATGCAACTGAGTCCACATCAAAGCACTTGAAAAATGGATCCCCAATTGTTGTTGCCAGGCCCAACACGTTGTAACTGAAACCAGACAAAGACTCATGTACACAGTTTGCTCAGAACTACATAAAAGACGGAGAGCAAAAGTTTAAGCTTTTATAGCATAAATTGGAATTGCAAAAGCAAATCATGCTTACCCACTGTCCCTGATTCCTTTTAACCAATTCCTTATATCAATCTCATTTGTCTCTATGTCGGCTTGAGAACCATCAGTGAAAGTAAGCGAGGTCTTCGATATTTTTGGGTTACCTTCTCCAAGAAGACTATATTTCTCCGCATCAGTTATTATCATGGCAGCTTTTACCTCTGCTGGTAAAGTTTGAGATATAGATGGAGACCAAAGGGCATGCAGAGCACGAAGAAGCTGCATATCAACATTGAACCAAAGTTCATCAGTTGCATTCAAATGCAGGAAAAATATGGAGATTTCTTCTTTAGAAGAGAGGCACAGTACTTACTTTTAAGAGAGGAGGTAGCATCCACGCTAGATGAGAACTCAATGGATGCTGCATAGAGCTGTTCTCTGAGTTCAAATTACCCTTTTTGAATCCACTCCTTTTAAGCGCCTTTTCGAAAAACGTGACTGTGTGAAAAATTGACCACATTAATGATGTGTCCAAGCATAAACGAACTACGCCTAATGGTTCGGACAAATAATTGTTTTGCCATTCCAATTGCATCCACTGCTGGCTTAATGGTTCGAGTAACCAGTTCAAAACCTCCTGTTGTTGTTGAAGCCTACATCGAGTCACGCAACCCAAAAGAATTAGCACATTGTCCATGATTATTTGTCAAACAAAAGTATAACCATGGGGCAGTTGAAGCAAAGATATTACCCAGCGGCAGAAGACATGACAAGGAATGCTTCTCCCAGAAGATTGTGCTCACTGCGAAGCAAACAGCCCTCCCTTTGCATATAACCCATGGTATCTGCTATACCCTACATAACAAATATGAAACAATTTTTCAAACTATAAAGACAATTGCTTAAGGGATGTCGCTTGTAGGAATTTAAAGGAGATCATCAAATTCACGTCCTTCTTTCATCGTACTTTTGATAGCCTACTTTTTGGGTTTAGAACGTAGGACCAATGGAGAAATAAACAAAAAGGAATGGTACAAGGGAATTAACTCACCTTCATGTGAGGCAAGATGCTTTTATCAGCAGATTTTGCTATTCGTATGAAGGAAGTACATATCTGTAACCTTGCATTCCTTGCACCACTCATTGAGGGATCCTGCCAAATGAAAATCACGATAACATCATTTTACATCTATTGGCATAGTGGTAACAGAACAAAAATTGGCGTTGAATAAGAACCTTCATAACACAAGGGAGAGATGCTAGAAGCTCAAATAGTTTGTTGATGACACCCCCAACAGCATCAGGATAGTACTTCATGAAAGGGCCCAATGCATCCAGATAGTGGCCTAGGATTTCCACAAGAGCTGGCTCTGACCAGTTTAGGGATAGAAGCCGCTGAAGTAAACCTTCGATTCACATTCAAAGGGTCATATCAGAAAAGATTCAAACTTGCAGGTTCAGTTCACTAGGAACAGAGGTTTCTAAGTTACCTTCAAATATTCTGCATAATGCAAGATGGAGTTCAGTAATGCCCCCAGCAAATTCATTTGATCCATCAAATACAGCAGTAACTATATTTTCTAGAGAGACTTGGAAGCTCTCCATCATAGCTAGGTCCTGAAAATGGAGATCAAGTTTAAGCCTTTAGTGACAGTATACAGAAAATCCACCAATTATGGATCCAAAAAGAACACAAAGATCATTGTCACACCTGAAGAGGAACAGGAGAAGTAATGATTGCAAAAACTCTGTCAGACACTTTACTGCTAGCTAATATGGGCTTCAAGGATGCAATAAGCTTAATGAGCTCTGACTGCATTGTACAAGCAAGAAGAGAATACAAGGGTGAATGTCAGAGAAAAAAAAATACAAAAATGGAACAATAGTTATTAAGAATACAAGAAGACTTACTAGCTTAGAACGATACTGGCTAAAGTCTCCCTTCCCTTCGAAATCATCACTCCACAACTCCAGTGTAACTGGAGCAAAAGAAGCCCCAGGAAATATTTTCTCTCTTCTAATCATACGCTGGAAAGAGACATCTAGGATTGAACCACAGATATCATCAGTAACAAGACTCAAAATCATTTTTTTATCATTGTCAAGCTGAGCAGAACCAGACCCATCGCCTGATGGGGCTGATGTAACTTTTGGCTTCATCACTAAATCCCTCATTAGTGCCTAAAACCAAAGGAAAAAGTCAGCAAGACGGAATACAATGTATGCCAAGAACTAAAGATATCGTGCAAATGACTTGCAAAATGTTCAACGTACCAACCAAAAGAGCAGGGCGTGATAATGGAGACCGAGTTTATAATGTTGGAAAAATCCAAGCATCTAAAATAAATGGAGTTATTATCAGCTATCCTCAAATTATTAATATTTTGACTAAGAAAATTGGACAGCCATGTGGTACATTTAAGATAAGTTACCTGTTGTAAGTAAATAGATAGTATAGTGCTGTTTCCGGTAATGCATTGCAGATTAGTAGAACCCAAAGACACAATGCTTTCACATATGTATTCAGCAAACTCGAATTCATCCTCATCCACAGTACTGGCGGTTGAGGTAGACTTGTACAAAAATTCTCTAGATACATTCATAAGAATCTGGAAGATGCTAATAATTGCAGAATCATATTCTGAAGCAGAAGTATCCGAAGGCCTTTTCCTGAAAGTCCAGATAATATTAAGGAGCACATTACAAAATCAAAAGTCTCATTTGGTAGGCATTCAGAAACTAGATGGTCTTTACCTTGAAGAGACAAGTTTGAAAAATTCACATGCATGAAGACGGAAATCTGCAGCTGAAAGCAAGTACCCGCACCTAGAAAGACATAAGGAAACCCACAGGCATGCAGAAAGTGAAAATATATATATATATGAAAGCAAAGAATGATGAAAAATTCTGACTGTGACTTTTTTTGCAACGTCATACCCATTGATTATACCGAATTTAGCTAGATCAGCCAAAGGAGCCCACTCGGCATATGCATTAATAGCATTCAAAGCAGCTGTCGCAGTTGAAGCATGCTGTTTGGCTACATCCATCTGCTGCCTACTCACTTCACTCAATGTAGCTCCAAAATGCCGTTCTAGTAGCTGCATTCAATGTTTACAGCATTACAATTATGCTAAACAAAGAGCACAGAGGAAAACTTGGCAGAGGTAAGTTCAGAGGTATACAGTATATAACAATGGCAAAATTTCTGGTAAAGACTCTGTAAGCCCCCTCAATAATAGGCGCCGACGATCACCTGACAATACATTTAGAAACACAAAATAAATTTAAGCAAGCAAGCAAACTATATATACCTTTCTCACTCTTCAGGATGCATAAAAGAACTATTGATCGTTATCCCTCTAATTTTGAAGAATTTATAGTAAACCCATAATTTATTTTGCCTCATTTTTCTGAAGAACCCAACCACAAATTATAATCCCCTGATGAAATCAGCATATGAGCTACAGGATTTCCAGTGTGAAAAAGAAGAGTTCCCACAAAGCGAACAGAAAAGTAACACAGAAAATTTGGCCAGCAAGACAATTCCTTCCTACCTTCCAAATCTTCGTTGTGAACTGTAATGTCTTCTGGAAGCCACCTCAACATCATTGAAACCAACTCAGCCTAATCCGAGAAGGGAAAATCCAAGATTATCATATGCAGGCTTCAGCGTGAACCATAACAGGAAACTGTAGCCCCACGGGAAGCTAAAAATTGCCGAGTTTAACTCACCTGCACAGGACCTTGGTTGGATATGGAAATCAAAGAAGGCAGCAGTTCTTGCCATAGTTCTATACCTTCTCTTCTTACAATCTGCAAATAAAGACGAATAGTAACTAAACCAAATAAGAGACAACTATGCTAAGTCAACAGAGTCACAGTTAGGGATAATATTATAAGAACCTCAGCAACTAGTGCAGCCTTTTGACTCTTCAATGGCCATTCTTCACAAGGATTTGTGATATCAGACATCAATTCAACAGCTACATTCGCAAAGTTCCTGCGCTCCGTCAAGCTGAGTTCCTCCCACCGCAACCGAACTAAATGCTGTATAAATGTAGACAAACAACAACTTAGCATAATTTCAGTCAATTAACATTTTTCAAAGACCCTTCAACCTTGACATGAGAAAAAGTGTGATTCCAATCAGACTACAAATACATACATACATACATACATACATATGGTGCCGTATTCAGTGCACTCACTTTTTCGGGCGCACTCAGTGTACCCGCCCCATAATTGTCATTCTGACCATGCGATTCATGTCAAAACGGTATCAATTGTTGCTTATGATATTATGAACAAGAAGCACATGAATTTGAAAAAAAATCATTCAAAATTTACTTTAATTCGAAGGATTTAGGATTTAGGATTTAGGGATTTAGGGTTAGGGTTTAGGTTTACAATTTGGGATTTTGGGTTGGGATTCAAAATTAAAATGTTAAGGGGTTAGGGTAATGGATTGATTTGTTATGATTCTATGTCATATCATCATATTATATTGAGAGTACTAATTAAAGTTCAAAATTTGATGTATTATGGACGCTTTTAGAGTTGGGTGCACTGAGTGCACTCATAAAAATGAGTGTGTTCAATGCACCCAACTCAAAAACTAGTCTTAAGGTGTCAGATTTTGAATTTTAATTTGTAGAATTAGTGTAATATGTTGATATAACATGTGATAACAACTAATTAGCGGATTACACTAAGCGCTAGACCTCCGATTTTGAGTTCTATCCATAAACCCCAAATTGTAAACTCTAACCCTAATCCTAAATCTCTAAATTCTAAATCCTTCAAATTAAAATAAATCTTTAATGGTTTTTGTGCAAATTCATGTGCGTTATTGTTCATCACATTATAAATGATGATTGACATCATTTTGACATACATCGCATGTTTAAAATGACAATTATGAAGCGAGTACACTGAATGCACCCAAAAAAGTGAGTGCACCGAATACGCCACCATATAAAATATATTTATAACACCTAGAAGCCCTCTGGAAGCAACATTACAAAAGCACAAACCTGCAGCATCTTGAAAGCATGCAGCCGAATTTCGGAAGACCAATCCTTTTCAACAAGTAGCAATGACGTGGTTGCCAGCACTCGTACATCTCCTGTTTTAATCTGCAAAGATGCAAGACTGGATCAGCTAGCCACAACGTAGACACTAAACACAAAGCAAGGTCTTAACATCCAAAACCCGTACTTAACCAAACAGTACTCTGTGGCTACTAAGCCCCAAAATGACAAAAAATAATATCCAAATGACCAAAGTTCTCATTACAATGAACCAATCCCAACAACCCCACAGTATTCAGCTCCTAAGCGAAAAAGAGCCCCGAAAGATCACTACAAGTAGCCACCACCAGCAGACCAGTCAAACACAATGGGTTTGTAAACCCGATAGAGAAGAGCAGCAATCAATCAACATTCCAACCACAAAACAACTAAAAAAGTGCAAGCATGAGATGCCTTGATAGCATATCACTGCAGCAATCAACCCTTCACAAAACCAGGGAACCCCAAATTCCAGAATTTGTAACTTCCCTCCGCACTCTATGCCATTGTTTCAGCAAAGAAATGTACCAACCCATTATACCCTTTTGCTAAATCCCTCCAGATTTTAATTAGAAAACAAGAAAACCCTCCACTTGGCCCGACAAACCCAGAAAGTTAATAATCATCAAACAAAAGCGGAATTGAGAGAGTATGAAAAGAGCAGCGAAGGGGAAAGTGGGTTGTGAGAGACTACAGAATCAAGGTAAGAAACAGCAGCTTTGCGATCATCGGGAGTGGAGTTCCAGTTGAGAGCTGCAACGATGGCTCGAGCCACATTGTTTGCTACACCCGAACTACTATTAGCCTCCATTGAAGCACACAAAGAAAGAAGAGGGTTTCGCAGATAGACAGAGAGAGATTGTTACTTTAGCTCAAGCCACAAAGAAAGATTGGGAAGAAGAAAAGGGGGAAATTGCTGAAGGAAAAGGAAGACGAAGAAAATAGTATTGAAGGGCGGAGTTAATACAAATGGCTTCTGGGTTTGGTTTTCTGTTGAGTATCTGTAAAGAAGGAACGTGGCTGAGAAACGCCTGAAAATGAGAAGAAAGAAATGTTCCACTGTCGTCCGCTGCCTTGGGCTTTGCCTTGCCTGCCTTCTATCAGCTTCCCCTCCCATAGCAAGAAGAGGGGAAAAGAAAAAGGAATTTAAATTTTATGTTCTTTATTGAGAGAATTGAAGTAAGGAGAGGACTTTATCTTTTTTGTGATTCTCTCTTTTTTATCTTAAAAAATCTCTCTTCTCTATTTTCCAACAATTTTGTATCATAATTTGATAGTATTTCTAAATCCTCTCATTTGTTAAACTTGATATGTAGCTCAGCTTTAAATTCAATCATGATTTTTTTTTAAATAAATTCAATCGTAATTGAATAGGTTATTATGGAATAAGATGGCAAAAATAATCATACTCATGGATAACCATCTAAATTAGACTTAATTGGACGGGTAAATTTTTAATCCGAAAATTTTTAATGGGTATTGGTACTCCCCTGATTATACTCATACATATGTACTCTGTTTATTATTCGTCCTCAATATATTTGATATTTATCGTACATGTATAATATTTTGGGTAATGACTATTTATTAGCTAAACTTTTTTCAAATTCTTTTATATTATCTAAATCTATTAAAAAACTATTAATTAGCCAAATCTTTTGTAATGCATCAAAATATTAGACATTTTAACGTTATTGTCGCTAATTTTGTAACTCTTTTCTTAGTTAAAATACTAAAATTTTGGAATGTTGACCTTCATGTGTCTCTTCTAAGTTAGTATCATGTTGCCAAATCAATATTACTAACAAAATTGTTAACTGAAAGTTAACATTTGGCTAATTCTTAGTATTTCGATAGGTATGGCTAATAAAAAAGAATCTGAAAAAGATTTGGCTAATAAATAGTCATTACCCTAATATTTTCATGAAATTATATTATTTTTAACTCATTTTCCTCATTTTATTAATTTATTATTTTAATTTTCCAATGATATATGTGTAATCCTTAACATGTTGGTTGAAGTTATAACGAAAATTATTATTACGCGAACTCAATTGAGTATGAGTAAGGTTTTAAAATTCTACTCGATTCTTGATGCATATGGGTAAAACTCAAAACTCTTTTTTGTAGGGTAATGGATTTGCATTATCCAGCCTAGCTCCGACCCGTTACCATCCACACTAATCGTGTCGGATACTATTAAACAATAGTGTAATATATATGATGACTTCTGCGGCACACTTGTAAAAATGATTGTTTATTATGCACGCAATACTAAAATTAGCTCTAGGACATCAAATTTTGAATTTTAATTGAAATTGTTAGTCTATGACTGTATAACACAAGACCACAACTAATTAATGTATTATGCTAAGCACTAGGCCTTCAATTCTAAACTCTAACCCTAAATTATATATTGTAAACCCTATCCCTAATCACAAAACTCCTAAACTCTCCAAATTAATATAAATCTTTAATGATTTTTTGTGAAAATTTATATGCTTTCTTGTCCCTTATATCACAAATAACAAATGAAATCGATTTGACGTGAGATCGCAAATAACCAATGAAATCGATTTAACGTGAATCACGATTATTAGTGCATGTGCAAAACACACGTCCAAAAAAATTAGTGCTTCGAAGATGACTATATATATACTAATTATCAGTCGATTTTGAGCCAACTTTATGCAAATCTTGATACAAGCTGGATCCAGGGCTCGAGCTGATTAAGTGAGAGGAAAAGTGCGGTGACTAACTAATGATAAAGTGAAATGGAGCAATTAGCAAATACAATCATGAGCTAAGGATACAAAAGGGAGTACTTGTAATTTATTGATATCTTTTTACTAATCTCAACATATAAATTTGGTACCAAATCAGAGAATTATGACCCTAGAAAAAATTATCAAATTATACACAATAATGGAAGTTTCTCATAATCTCAAACACATTAAAAAAAAAAAGCAAAAAAAAAAAAACAACCCCAATTTGCAAACACAATCTCAAGTAGTAGGCAAGTAACCCTAAAAAAGAACCCCACCCCCTTAGAATTTGCAAAAAGAAGAAAACAAGTATACTAATTTGACTTTTCCAGAATAATAAACTTTCAACCAACCCCAATTTTTGCTTGCCTTGCAAGTAACTGTGAAGAAAGCCAAAGCTAACAAAAAGGGACTCTTCCATTCCATGTACGCCGATCAAATTGCCTATGCACGCCTATGCACCATTCAATTAGCTTGATATTCAAACCACGCTCCTCTTTGCTTTTGACCTAGTATCTCCATTCATGTCTCTCCGGTGACTTGTTCCGAACTTTGAAAATTCTCGTCCATCCCCATGCTTCTTATGCCTATGACTGCCTGTGCCAGTGGGCTCTCCCAATGGTCCTGACCAGGTTTGAACTGGTTCCTTTGAGTAATTGAATGTTGTGGTGCTGAAGGGGATGTCGGGAGGGACAACCGATGGGTCGATGTGATGGGATGCTCCCAAAGGATAGCCGACCGCACCATCCTGGTGAGGGGGAGGGAACTTCTCGCTCTTGCTCTTTGCATTCGCATGAGTTATTAGACGCCTCCTCTGGACAACATACACACATGACCAATTGTCAGAAAAAGCTTAGCTTATAGACCAGTTGGTTCAACCACAAAGAAACATCTATCATAGTTGTTTTTCAGCAAGCAAAAGAGGAAAATCGTTGCTTGTTCTTTGAGTGACAACATAGAACTTACGTCAATATTGGATTGAAGTTCGGCATTGGCTTCTGGAGCAGGCACTCCTCCCCTGGCAGCCCTATCACGAATCCGTGGCTTCCTTGTGGAGTCACCTTGGGCCTTAGCAGCAGCTCGTAATCTACACATTTCATTAGAACAAGTTCATAGCACATTAATAAAACTCGGAAGGCACAGAACTAGAAGTGCCCACAAGAGGAAAGTAGAGGTCTAGAAAGAGGGACCTTCGAGCTTCATCATCACGTCGCTTTGCATCAATCTCCTTACTCGGGGGATACTTGGGGAGACTGGAAGGTTCGCAAGCATAAGGTTCGGTCATAAAGAACTGCACAAGGGGGGAAGGTGCTACAGTTAAACACTGAAACATAAAAATGTAATATGGCAGAAGTGCAATGAACTTACTTCACTTTTTAAGGCAGCTGTGGCTGTCTGGCGTTCTGCTGGGTCTATGGCGAGGAGGGTTTCAATAAGGGGGAAAGAAGACGGTGGGAAATCTTTAAACGTCTCACGTATAGATCTTCTGTAAGGCTCGCGGGGTTTAAATAAGGTTGCATTTGGCAGCTTTGATTTTTTCCAGTATTCATCTGAAGGCGAGCCACACAGCTTGTATATCTTATGTAGCTGCTCTACCTGAACTCATTGATGGAAGTAAAAGTACATCAGAATGAAAAATCTGAAATATAAGACTCAAATCCCATACAAGATCAACAAGCATTGAAAATTTCAGTGTCTGAAAAATGTAAGTATCATAGCCACAAGCATGAAGAAAATGCATTAACTTCCTTTAATCAACCAAAGGATTAAGGAGTTGTTTGGACTGACAATTACAAATGATACATTCTGAAAACGGTAAGATTTCAGCCAACACAAGCATTTCAAATGATATATTCTGAAATGCGTGTTTTCCCATCACAATTTCATAATGGGTACTCTTGCAATCTTACCATCCAATTATTTCAAATCCATGCATCCTCAAAATACAAACATTCTGACAACACAATTTCCGAACGCCCCCTAAGTTCAACTGTCTTCATGCAAACTTTGCCATTGTTTTGCTTTCTAGTCTTAAGGGAACAAATAGAGTACTAGACTACAGCACAGACTACAAATGATTTCACAAGACATTACCTCAGTACGACCCGGCATAATGGGTTTTCCAGCCAAAAGCTCAGCTAATATACAACCTGCACTCCAGAGGTCGACACCCACACCATAATCAGTAGCCCCAAGGAGAAGCTCAGGAGGCCGATACCATAGTGTGACCACTCTGCTTGTCATAGGATGCTTACGGTTGGGATCAAAGAAGCTCGCCAATCCAAAATCAGCAATCCGAAGCACTCCTTCATTATCTATCAAAAGATTTGATCCTTTGATATCCCGATGAAGCACCCCACGTTTATGACAGTGCTCAAGCCCAGATAATAGTTGGTGCATGTAGCATTTAACCTGAAATACATCAAAGAAGGTCATGCTTTAGGCATCTTATAATGAAAAAATCACACTTTATGGATATTTGATGTTTGCATTATCAGAGCAGAGTTAAGGGTAAACCTGTGGTTCAGTGAACTTCACATCCGGGCTTGCTGCTAGTCCAGCTAAATCATGATCCATATACTCAAAGACCAGGTAGAGACTACATGACATTCTCGAAGTAACCAAACCTTCCAATTTCACCACGTTCGTGTGATCCAGCCTTCGAAGAATCAGAATCTCACGAGCCATGAATTTCACGCTCTCGGGTTCCAAATTATCAAAACGAACCTTTTTTAGGGCGACGACTTTCCCAGTCAATAGGTCTCTAGCTTTATACACATTGCTATATGTTCCTGAACCAATCTGCCATCAAACGATGGAGGAAACGGTCAAATAAGAGCAGCTGCCACGAAAGTGATAAATTGCAATAGATAAAACTTATTACTCTATATCAAGAACTTTATCTTCTGAGATCAGCAAGGGATGTTTTCCCCCTTTGCTTGAAGTTAAGACTTGAAAATATTCAAATCAAAAGCTACAATACGACATGTCTAATCTAATCTGTGAACCCAGTAGAAAGAGTTCATAATTGCCACCACAATTCAGACAACACCAACCATAGTAATGGAAAAGTCAAAATTCAAGACATACCTTATCGATCTTCTCAAAAGTATCAGCACGCCGCGGTATCCAACCATTGAGCGCCTCTCCACACACTGCTGACAACCAAGGCGGCCAACCAGCAGCCACCTGCTCGCCGTGCAAATGCTTAGGCGGGTTACTCAACCTAGGATTCGGTTTTGACCTCCTCCTGCTCTCCCCTTTGGGCTTCTTATTATCGCCACCACCAACTTTATTATCCTCCTTCTGGCTCTCCTCATTTTGAGATGTCTCAATGGTGACATTACTTTCGGTCTTTGCCACCGAGACATTACTATTTTCTTCCAAGTTTCTGCTAGATTGAGCACTCAAGTTGTTCTTAGCAGCAGCCTCTTTGGACTCTGACACTACGCTAGATGAAACCTCTCTCCCAAGAACACACCCCATCTCTCCAAGGAACTCTATGCCGCATTTCGAAACGACATATTTGAGGGTTTCTCCATACTTAGCAACTGCCAAAAATCAAGAAATCAAACTCTTGAGGAAACTGAAATTATCTTTCCAAACAGAATAAGAACAATAACAGATTATGCAGTTCAATCTTAACCCAAATGAGATACAACAAGAGAGATAAATCTACCAAGAGAAACAAATATCAAGATGGGAACCAAACTCATTAAAACCCACGAGCTCACTTCTAGTTGCCCATCAGCATATGTAAACTAAACAAAGACTCGATCCTTTCCCCAGATTCAGATCAACCTATTGACAAAAAGCCAAGTAGAAGCAAGAATCCATATCTGATCAACACAAGCAAAGCAGCGAATCCACAATTCCAAAGGTGGGAACTTCCATACACATTCAAACAAACCAGAAGAGATACGAAAAAAGTCAAAAGTGATCCAGCAAGGAAGTAAGAGCTATACAAACAAACCTAACTAGCAACAAGGAAATAAAAAAAGAATGGCTTGAACTTTGAAGGCAAGATCGATTTGATGATATCAGAGAAACGATAAGGGAAAGCAACAGAGACAGGTCTAGAGAGAGAGAGATGGATAGAGAGAGAGAGAGAGAATGAAAGTGAGAGCTAGTTAAAGAAAGTGATGGCTCAATTAGCAACAGACAGAGAGAAAGAGAGAAAGATCCTTACTTTGATCGAATCTGAGTGGTAAGCTAAGAGACACAGCAGAAGGAGGAGAAGAAGAACTTGGGCAGGGTTGTGTTAAGAAGAACTTGATCGAATCTGGGTGTCTTTTTTCTTTTTCCCCCTTGTATTTTTCCCCCTTTCTTTCTTGTATATGGGGATTGTGTTAAGTTTTGGTAGCAGTTGGTGGGTAGTACTATTTTGTGCAGAAGTTGGTTTGGTTGAGACAGGAAATTTTGTTGGGGAAGGGTACGGAAGGCCAGGGAGGGATGAAGGAGAAGAAAGGAAAGGGGCAAAAAACAGCAGGCACAGAGGCAGGCAGATCGACTCTGTTGCTCTTTTTGGCCTCTGGAGGTGTTCGTTTTTCTTTTTCTTTCCTATGGTGTGTTCCTTCATTCAAAGTCAACCCCACCAAAGACTAATAAGCAATCTCTTCTTCTCTTTACGTCTTTTTCGTTGTAAACTTTCTATATTTCCGTATTATTAATCGTTCCTTCTCATACGAGCATTTCCATTTATAAATAATCCATGGCTAAATTACATATATATTCAGTTGGATTTATCTAAATATTTCACCATGTCACTCATAAAAAATTTCATTAGTCATGCACTTTAATTATCGTTTCACCGCCTGTCACTTGTTTCATTCATTATATGCAGTAGTCAACAATGAAATTTTATCCTTAAATAAATGACGTGAGCATGTCACAGGCAACGAAGAGGGAATTAATTAGCATGCCACTGTGGCCGAGATGGCTACAAATGAAGGTGAGTGGAAGTGGCAGGAGTTCGCTCCACGTCTGACTCAGAACTGGGTTGCTTTGGTTGTAGGTGCGGACCCTCCATTGTCGGGATCGGGATTAGACATCACAGTTTGCAATCAGCATACTCAACTGCAGTGGAATTGCTGAGTGACGGAGAATGTGAGACGGAGTAGGCAAACGAACAACCTCATTGGAAACGACTTTGGAAATGGACGGGGCCCTAACCGGATTAAACATTTGATGTGGTTGGTTTTTCACGACAGGTTGATGACGAACGCGCAGCGCAAGAAGAGGAAACTAATGACGGACGACACATTACCGACATGCAAAAATGGACCGGAAACCACCGAACACATATTGGGCAAGTGTCTAAGCTCCCTACAGGTATGGCATAGGCTGGGTCAGGGGGTGCAGTCAGGATTTCGAGACCGGGGGGCCAAAAATGATTTTAAATATATATATATATATATTTTAATTATTTTAGAAGTACACGACGTTCTTTGATATCATTGAATGTAATAAAACGAGGTGGCTTTTCCTTATACTATTTTGCAATGTTGTCAAAAGCGAACCGGAGTATGAACTGATAACGTGAACGGCTCAGTCTTTAGCGGTCCAACCGACATTAAATCTTTTAAAAACCGTCAGAAAACCGGTACTTAATAAACAATCAGTAAAAATAGTGGACACTTCTTAATCATGGTAAACCATGACTAAATTAATAAATTACACTCTTAACTCTTAACAATTCCAAAATAAGAGAACCAAAAGGGGTGAGACGGTCGGAGTAGTGCAGTGCTCGATTCAAGCCTCTGGCGATGGCTATCAAAGGAGCAGCTGCGGTAAGAAGGGACGGGGACAGGCGAGCGGGGAGCAGGGAGCCGGAAGCGGCTACAAGGACTGGGGATGGCGACGATGACGACGAGAAGCGACGGGACGGGAAGTGACGACGGAGCAGAGGAGTTGCTACGGGAAGAGGGGACGGGGATGGAGACTGGTGATGTCGAACTAGGAGCTGCTACGCTGATTGGGGATGGCGACGATGACGACAGGAAGTGTTGACGGCGACAAAGTTTGGCGCCACTCTTCTCCCTCTGTTCACGAAGAGTCGAAGATGAAGACTGAATTGGAGTTAGGGTTTCTTTCCCAGCCCCACGATTTTTCCTTTCGTTTTCAATTTTCTTTTTCAATTTTTATTATTAAACATAATGGCCATAAGGGGGGAAACCGAGCGACCGGTTAACCGCCTCGCCCGCCGCTCCATAAAATCGTAGCGGCTAAATGACTGATCCGAGCCAGATTTGCGACCGGGTGACGGCTTTATCGGTCCGGCCGGCTCAGTTCGGTCTTATTAGCATTGCTATTTTGACAATAATGGGGATATGAGAAGAGTTCGGTTTGGTTTAGGGAATGGCAACGGAATTGAGCTTGTAATTAAATAGGTGGCTTTTTTATAATAAATAGGTGGCTTTTTATTGTTCTTTGATATCATTGAACGTAATAAAACGAGGTGGCTTTTCCTTATACTATTTTGACAATAATGGGGATATGAGAAGAGTTTGTTTTAGGGAATGGCAACGGAATTGGGCTTTGAATTAAATAGGTGGCTTTTTTATAATAAATAGGTGCATATAAGATTTACAATATGATATTTTCGTGATAGTGGTCACTTGCTTCCAGATTAAAAGTAGAGTTCTAATTAATACAATATAAAAGCACGAGTGATTGCAATAATTGGAGCATATACAAGGTGGTTTGATATTCTTAACTCTGAAAGTAATAAACACATGGTGAGCATATGTTGTCATGAGAAGGACAAACCGAACTCTTTGTGTTTGTAGTATAGCCTGTTGAAATATATGCATGTCTAGACCCGACCGATTGAACGTCTCCACCTAGAATTTAGTGATGGGATTTTTGCTCATCAAAACCGCAAACCAAATAAGCTCCCTCCTTAATCCTTCTATTTTTCTTAATATGCACATGCATACCTTCATAGGAAACATGTAGAGAATTGTAATTTGGGTGCTTCATTAGTTTGTTTCCATAATATTGTATTATCTGAGGTGGTTATTCTAGAATTGTGAATCACGATTGTATGTCCTCTAAGAAATTGTCAAGTTAAGCTATGAAAGAGACTAACCTGAGCTTTCTGTTTAATTTAGATGGTAAGAGAGCACTGACCCATGTTAAATTGGTTGGGGATTGACGGAGGTCCGAGAAACGGTTTCAGCTTCTTTAGAGCATCACAAGATCCTGATAGTATCTTGACCAAAGCAATTTTTTTTTGTCATGTCCGATATTGATACAAGCAGTTTACTTAGAGGAGACCCCCAACAAGTTAGCTCTTGGAGTTTCGATACAACAATGGGTAAGGTAGATACAGTTTATACAAAAAATCATGCCATGATCGTATATAACACGTTGGTAGAGATAGCCTACAATTTTATTTTATTGACGAAGCCACCGAGGAGAAGAGAGGAATCGTCATTGGTACTCTAGATTTTACAAGGCTATTATACATATCATTTTCTTTCATTTCATGTAAGTTCGTATTATGACTGAAGTGATATTAAATCAAGCCATAAATTGGAGCAATGGAATGGTTGTTTGGATTAATGTGTACTAATGCAAAATGTGATGTAGCTGCCACGAAGGAGTAAGAAAGGACCAATCAACGTGTTTGTTGTCGAGAAGGATAAAATCGTGATAATGGAGAGGTTACATGACAATTGACTTATACATATTGAAGAGATAGAAAGTGCAGAGTTGTAAGTCATTTGTGTGTTTTGTGTAGCATAGTTATTTGGTAGGATTTCACAGTGGTAGAGGTATTGACAAAAGTTGTTATCTGTTGGTGTTATTAGGCATATGTTGCTTGCTTTTTCTTTTGTTTGTATATGAGATTTATACAACAGATTGCATGCTTTGTATTAATTTTTTTTGTCATTTTAATTAACAATTCTATTTATAAAAAAAAACTGGCCTATACATTTCATCGAGTTGATTTGGACATTGCTAGTTTTGGTTTTCTCAGACAGGGATTCATCACATTTAGTGTCACTGTGGTTTTTGGTCTAAGCGCAATCAATATTGGGTTTTCTTTATGAAATCTCTTGGTGGTTTCCATTTTCACAATCGGGAATTGGAGCCAGGTAAGGATTCCTTTGATTTTTTCATGTTCACTCTAGAGGCATAAGGTGCTTGGCAATAGTGTGGCTAGATTTAGGGCTAATGACTTCAGTTGGATTGTACATTATTATTTTTTTTACAGGAATTTGTATTCATTTAATTAAAACCTGCTATCCATTACAGTTGGCCCAGCCCGCCCAAAATCCGCTTCCAAGAGACACAAGATAGACAGCGAAGGATTATCCACCCAAACAAGAAGATTATCCCATCTACCTACCGAATGAGCCAGCCAGTGAGCGATGGTATTGTTCTTGCAGGGAACAAAGCTCCATTTCACCTGATTACCAAAGAGACTCTCATTCACCATCGCCAATCTCCAGATTTCCTCACACCAAAAACTCACCTCCGTCCTATCCCCATCCTTCTTTTGTACATTATATTCTTTATGTTTTAATGTTTCTTTTGTAATGCAATGGGATAATAACTTTCCATCAGATTATTATGGTGTTGTTGACCTACCACTGTCCATCATGGTAGACATGCTAATGGGTAATATAGTTATAATCAGAGTACCAATTTCTGAGACTACGTCCGGCCAAGCGGGCCGGGTAACCAGCTAGTAGTTAATAGGCTTAGATGGACTAAAATTCTCCTACCATAAATTAAGGGGATTTTTTTATGATCAAAAGAGAGTTAAAGTCCAGCATCTTATATTCTTTTGATTCCATCGCCTCATGTCATGTATTATAGGGCCAGAGTAAATTCGGCTCAAGTATGTTCTCTTGTTAGGGGCGCTCAGCACTCATATGATTTTCTGACTATGCTTTTTCATCGTTTTCATGTGCAGATGCATCTTACTTGTGTCATTATCTTTATCTTTCGCCTAAAATTTATAAAAACACTAATACCCCGTGGTAACGGTACTATAACCATTACGAGGTAAATCGGCTCTAAATCTAGCAATTTAAGCATCAAACATATTATGAAATAATTGTATTAAACACACAAATTCAGTATGTTTTTAGCGATTTTCATCAAGTCAATATAGTTTAACATGATATGATAACGATAGTTTAATAATTTTATCAATCCTTATCATGAATGGTAGTGTCTGGCATGTTTGATATTTCATGAGCTTTCACAACATATATGCTATATTCAATAAATCGAGAAACAATAAGTAGGATAGCGATTTTGACTTGAACTGTTTTGTGCGAGGTGAGGTGGACACAGCTCATCCTTATTCTCAATTTGGTTTGCCTAAATTATTTGTAATTATTCAATTTACTTATGATTTTACTTTTATTACATCATATCGTAACTAGATAAATATGTTTTTTTTTAATAATTTAGTTTCACTTATCATATAGTCTATTTTATACATCTATACAATTAATAATTTATAAATAGGGTTTCCTTATTTTATAGGAAAGAGGCAAAATCATTGGACAACCTAACCTTGTTGTTCACTAGCCAAAACCTAACTAAAAAAATTCACATGTTAGTTAATGTGAGAGGTTGTTGAAGGCCCCAACTATGCTATGGCAAGACAAGACATGTTTGGTCTTCAACTACTATGCACAATGCTTGAAATTATTTATTCTTCTGAATTTTAATTAGTTTTTGATAATAAAGCTTCTTTGTCTATGAATTCTGGTTTGTCGATCGTCAGGAGTGTGTACACCGTTTATGGTTTGCTTGCGGGAACAGATCTTTAATTTGGGACCGTTGTTCACTATTTTGTTTCCTCCTTTTATTTTTTTTTCTTGGGATGACTTTTCTGTTGAGATAGTACTACGAGTATAGGGCTGGGAAACAGTCCGATTCGGTGAAATTGGACGGGAACGATCCGGTTAACTGGATGTAAGTTTTAGCCGTCAGAGACCGGATTGGATTGGAAACCAGATTGAATTGAGAAGGGTTTGGTTCGGTTCTTAAAAAAAAATATTGAAAGTTTTCCATCTAAAACTCTATTTTATTTAACTAATAAAACTATATCATCATTATAAAGAGCACTTCTACTATGCTATATAGTATTGGTGCTTTAATGTACAACTTAAAGTTGTACCATAACATTAAATGTATAAGTTTAGGTTGTACCATAAAGCAATTTGTACCATTATGTTATGGTACAACTTTACAACTTGAAGTTGTACCATAACATAAAGGTACAAGTTCAAATTGTACCATAAAAGAATTTGAACAAAAAGTATAGGTACAATCTGAAGTTGTACCATAACGTAAATGTACAATTTTAAGTTGTACCATAAAGGTAAAATCTTATAGCATCAATACTATATAGCATTGTAAAATTTCTCTATAAAAAGGAATTATAGTTTGGAAATTATTAAATTAACATGAAGGTCCTTTGCAGTGTAACGCAATTTTTATGTTAATCCCAAACGACAAATAAATGGAAACAATATCCACACTGATTGCAGAATTTAATGATTCAATCTCTTCAGTCAAAACTAATCACTTTATTTCCTTGTAATAATAAAAAAATGGATTTTCTCAGCCTCTTATAATTAAGAAGGGGAGAGCTCGCTCGCTATATGAAGCATATGCATATATATATATATATATATATATATATATATATCAGACACCCTAGCTAGTGCAAGAGAAGAAATCAAGATTAGTAGAGCCTTTTTGTTGGAGAAAAATGAAGACGATGATCGGGATGGTGATGATACTGCTGGTAATCTCGAGCTCGACGAATCAACTGGTTTCGGGAGATTATGTGTTGTGTTTCAACGATTGCATGAAACACACCTGCAAACCTGGAGAAGCTTATACTACTTGCCTTGTGAGGTGCTATAAACAGTGTCACAATACTCCTCCAAATAGTCTTCAACAACAGAAGCATGAATCTCCAGCAATTAACTAATACAGAATACAACTTATTGGTTCCATAGTCGTAGTTCTTGTTTTTCATCCGCATGCATATTTTTAATGTAATCCCAATATCTCATTTCTAGCTATCTCCCAGAATAAAACGATATATATATATATATATATATATATATATATAAAAAGTTCTTCTCTCGTTTAGCGAGAGCGTTGTGAGGCGGCGGAAACCCTAGGGTTGTCCGAGTTTTTCCGAGAGGCGAGCGGAGCTTAGTGCGGCTGATCCAAGTCCGAGCTGAGATCTGAGAGTCAAAATAAGAGGGGGATTAGGAGAGCAACCAAAGAGGGGTAGCACCAGAGTAACATAATCTCAAGTTGTTTCAGCGCGGGAGGTTGTTTTACAAACTGTGAAGGAAAAGGAGAGGAACTTGACACACAAGAAAGAAAACAGAGGATCTCTGTTGAGGGGAGACTTTAAAAGAGGAAGCCGAGAAATGGAAGCCAAGGAACTAGCATCGACAGGTACAGAGGAAGGGGTGGAGGAGGATCCCGCACCCAAAACCCTAAGCCTGGAAGAGCAGCTTGATAAGATCACCTTAGCGGAGGACGACGAGCCGCCGTTGGAGGTAGAAGACTCTGACGTAGACGTAGTGAGAATGGAGGCAGTTAGAAGACTAGGGCTTGTTGGCCGTCTGATGGCGGAAAAGCAGCCCAACCTGAAGTCATTGAAGATAGCATTAGAAAAAGCGTGGAATCTCCGAAAAGGGTTCCAGATCACAGACCTCAAGGATAAACTTTTCGCTTTCCAATTCCTGGAAGAGGATGACAAAAATAAGGTCATATTTGGGGGGCCGTGGCACTATGAGAACAATGTGATAGTGTTCAAGGAATGCTTGCAAATACAAAGACCAAATCCGAGTGACTTACACTTGATAGATCTATGGGCCCAGATTCGTGGTTTCCTAGCAGAGCTAAGGACAGCGCAGATGGCGTCCAAGATTGCAACAAGATTTGGGGAATTAGTCTGGTTCGATGATACAGGCTACCTGTGGGACGAGCATATGAGAATCAGGGTCAGTCTATCAATTAACAATCCACTGAGGAAGAAGATAAAGCTAAATATAAAGGGCAGACTAGAGGAATATCAGGTCAAATATGAGAAATTGCCAATGTTCTGCTACTCGTGTGGGCGAATTGGTCATCCCAAACTTAGATGTGATAAGCCATCAAGAATTGTGCCAGATCCGTTTGGAATGGAGCTGAGAACGGATGGACCAGGGCCCAGAAGCTGGCCTTCACATGCAGCGAGGAGGGAGGATGCAGAGGTGTGGGAGAAACTGCGAAAAAAATTCGAGGCGGAAAGCTCAGGTTCTAATTCGGACCATGATAGATCTTTTCCTGAAGAGCGAGAGGTGATTAGACAGGGAACTCAGGAAAGGAAAGAAGATGGAAACAAAGACAACCAAAATGGGGATAAGGAGGAAGAACAGATGGAAGTGGACAAACAAAGTGAGGTGCAGCAGAGCACTGGGGAGAAAAGACAAGAGCCAGAAAGAATAGAACCGTTTCTGAATTTGTAGAATGGGGCTCTCCAACGTTTTGCAATGGGGAGTGAGGGAATCAAACAAGGAAACAGACCAATGGGCAGAGTGTGGAGGCGCCAGGAACAGAATATCCCAAGAGAGAAAGCTGGGGTATAGGTAACTCCACAAAAGCGAGCAGCTGCAGAACCACAACAAGTAGCAGCAGCTCGATCAAATAGAGAAATAAGCCAAAAAAGGGCTCGAACACTGAATTTCAACACCCAGCAGGTGGAGGAAGTCAGAGAAAAGGAAACCGGAAGAGGGAAGGAAGCACAACAAAACCAACAGGAGGATGGCGGACCCTGGAAAAATTCAGGGCCGTCCAGCCCAATGAATCTATTGAGCTACAACTGCCGGGGACTGGGGAATGCCCTGGCAGTTGGGAAGGTGAAGACGCTTTTGCGTCAAAAGAACCCCGACATAGTCTTTCTTATGGAGACTCACTTGTATGATGGTGAATGGGAAGCAAAACAACAAGAATTTGGGTATGAAGGAGGAAAGGGAGTAGCAGCAGGGAGAAATAGGTCAGGGGGCCTATTGATGTTATGGAAGCAAGGAATTGAGCTACAGGTTAAAGGAAAGGATATGAATTATATAGATTGTGAAATGAAAATGGAGAATCAGAACGAGACATGGAGGCTAAGTGGAGTTTATGGTTGGCCAGAGGGTCGAAACAAGATCAAAACTTGCGAGCTGTTGAGATGGTTGTCAAGCCTTGTGGACAAACAGTGGGTGATTGTCAGAACAGAAGCGTGGCAATCGATAATCCAAACCAACACAAACGAACACAAATTTAACGTGGTTCACTAACACAATGTGTGCTAGCTAATCCACGGGAAGGGGGAAACAAATTTCACTGATTTGAGGAGAGTACAGGTTACAAACCAAATTCCAAACGGACAAACCGAACAAACTAACCTGACTGGCCCTACTACATACTAGGGTGATGAAGAGTATTTATAGAACTCTTCTCCAAATCCCAAACAGAAAACCAAACACCCTTTCCCAAACATACAAGGAAAAGGTCAAACAAAACCCAATCACAAACCCAAACAGAATAGGCCTAAAACACAAAACAAACCCAAATCAAATTCAAGTCATGTCCTAACAATCTCCACCTTGACTTGAATTCTCTGTCAAATACCAGATGTACCAAACGCAACCAAAGTTGCCAGATGTACCAGACGCAACCAAAGTTGCCAGATGTACCAAACGCAACCAAAGTTGCCAGATGTACCCAGACGCGATACATATCGCCAGACGTATCCAAATGCGATCGAAACCGCCAAACTCAAACGCAATCAAGATTGCCAGACATATCCAAATGCGATTCATATCGCCAGACCAAACGCGATGCAAATCGCCAAACTCAGATGCAATCAAAATTGGCAAAAGTACCAAACTCTCCAAATCAGCTGTACCAGAATCTCCTCTGCCTCCAGATGCCCCTAAGGGCGATCAACAAATCAAAACATGCAGCAAGTCCAACCCATGTTTGGACTTGCCATGCATAACCAACTTGGTGTTATTTCCATCGATAACACCAACATCATATTTACTTCCAACTCCAAACCTGCAACTCCAAATTGACTTCTCGATCTTCATACTGATAGCAACCATTCTTACTATCAAACAAACTCCAACCAAACTTCTCACAAAAAAGCGAGACCAAAACACAACTACCCAAAGTCAACTTCAAAGCGCCTCCACCGAACCAAGCTGAAGAATTGAAAGCTACCTCCACAAAGTAAAACTTCAGTCCAACGCCAAATTCCCAAAACCGCAACCAAAGGCTCTGATACCACTTGTCAGAACAGAAGCGTGGCAATCGATAATCCAAACCAACACAAACGAACACAAATTTAACATGGTTCACTAACACAATGTGTGCTAGCTAATCCACGGGAAGGGGGAAACAAATTTCACTGATTTGAGGAGAGTACAGGTTACAAACCAAATTCCAAACGGACAAACCGAACAAACTAACCTGACTGGCCCTACTACAGACTAGGGTGATGAGGAGTATTTATAGAACTCTTCTCCAAATCCCAAACAGAAAACCAAACACCCTTTCCCAAACATATAAGGAAAAGGTCAAACAAAACCCAATCACAAACCCAAACAGAATAGGCCTAAAACACAAAACAAACCCAAATCAAATTCAAGTCATGTCCTAACAGTGATGATGGGAGATTTCAACCTAATCACAGACTATATTGAAAAAAGTGGGAGCTGTAACCCAAACGTCAATGAAATGGAGGAATTTCGAAGAGCCTTGGAGGACTGTGAACTTGAGGACCTAGTGTTCTATGGGAACTGCTTCACTTGGGAAAATAATAGAGAGGGGGAGGCCTACACTGAAGAGAGGTTGGATAGGGTGGTTGCTAATAGAAGATGGTTGGATAACTACCCTTTGGCGAGGGTCTACCATCTTCCTAGATGTGGATCATACCATATCCCCATATTGCTACAACTAAACCCAGAGGAGGAGGAAATTCAATGGGGATGGTCATTCAGGTATGAACCATATTGGCAAAAGCATAAGGAGTGCAAAGGGATAGTGGAAAAAGGGTGGCGAGCTGGTTCTCCAGGAAGCCTAATGGAAAGGGTAGCAAACTGTGAGAAGGAATTACAGCAGTGGAGTAAAGAAGCTTTTGGATCTTTAAAGGAGAGACGCAAAAAAGTAGAAAGAAGCCTAGCTAGGATGGAGAAACAACCCCGAACAAAAGTCATGAATTCTCAGAGGAGAATTTTACAGTGGGAGCTTGATGAGATCCTGCTTCAGGAAGAAAGTAAGTGGAGACAACGATCGCGAACAGACTGGTTACAGGAAGGAGACCAGAATACGGGTTACTTCCACCGTAAGGCATCGGAAAGGAGGAAAAGAAACATGATCAAACAAATTAAAGATGCTACGGGGAAGCTATTTGTGGGACAGGAAGAGGTTACTCATTGTCTACTAGCTCATTACAAGGAGTTGTTCACTCCTGAGGAGGAAGTACAGACAACAACAATACTCAACTTGATTCAGCCAAGGGTAACAGGAGAAATGAATGCCCAACTCACTCTACCCTTTACAGCGGAGGAAGTATGGAGCACCCTAAAACATATAGGGTCCTCAAAAGCCCCAGGGGCAGATGGGATGTCAGTTTTGTTTTTTAAAAAGAATTGGGAGATAGTGGGAGAGGATGTGACACGGGAACTAACAGGTTTCTTAGAGAATGGTTCGTTCCCCAAAGAGCTGAACCACACCCTAATAGCATTGATCCCAAAGACGAAAAAACCAGAGACACCAGCAGAATACAGACCAATTAGTCTGTGTAAGGTGCTATACAAGATTATGTCGAAGGTTTTGGCTAACAGGCTGAAGAGGATACTAAGCAGAGTGATCGAGGAGAACCAAAGTGCGTTTGTACCTGGAAGATACATCACTGACAACGTGATGGTGGCATTTGAATGCTTCAATACAATGAAAATGAAAAAGGAGAGCAAAAGAGGATACATGGCAGCAAAGTTGGACATATCAAAAGCTTATGATAGAGTGAGTTGGGGATTCTTAGAGGCAATGATGTTGCGGATGGGATTTGATGGCAGATGGGTAAACCTAGTGATGTACTGTATAACCACAGTTTAGTTCTCTATCCTAGTTAATGGGCACAGGTCAGACAGTTTTACACCTAAAAGAGGTCTCAGACAGGGGGACCCGTTATCCCCCTATCTGTTTTTGCTATGTGTAGAGGGGCTCTCAGCCTTAACAAGAAGGGCAATAGAGGAAAAGAAGTTACATGGTTTTCAGGTCTCCCGAAGAGGTCCTGTTATCTCACACCTTTTCTTTGCTGACGACAGCATTTTCTTTACTAGAGCCAGCACAACGGAGTGTGAGCACTTGAAGGAGATCCTAAAGCTATACGAGAAAGAGTCAGGACAAAAGGTCAACTTGGCAAAGTCAGACCTGACATTTAGCCCTAATGTGACAGCTGATCAAAGGGGAAGACTGGCAAGGATATTGGGAATGAAGCAGGTTGAGGAACACACAAAATACTTAGGGTTACCTACTGTGATAGGGCGGGAAAAGAAATCAGTCTTCGGAGTTTTGGTGGATAGAGTGAGGAAGAAAATCAAGATGTGGAAGAGTAAGAGTTTGTCCAATGCAGGTAAAGAAGTCCTAATTAAGGCAGTAGCCCAGGCTCAGGCAACATATACAATGTCTGTCTTCCTAGTGCCTGATGTAGTGTTGGAAGAAATTAAGAGTGCAATGCTGAATTTTTGGTGGGGTCAAAAAAAGGAGGAGAGGAGAATAGCATGGAGAGCCTGGGATAAACTCTGCGAGCCTAAAGATGCTGGTGGACTGGGGTTTAGGGATCTTAAGACCTTTAACCTCGCCCTATTAGGGAAACAAATCTGGAATCTTATGCAAAATCCAGAGTCCCTAGTAGCCCGAGTTTTAAAGGCCAAGTATTACCCAAACACAGATATCCTCCAAGCTAGAGTTGGCTATAATCCAAGCTATGTGTGGAGAAGCATAATGGCGGCCAAGGATCTGATAAGGAATGAGATAAGATGGAGAATTGGAAATGGAACTCAGGTAGGGATATGGGGAGACAAATGGATACCAAATGCAGAGGAGGATGGATACCAGATAGTCTCACCAGTCACTGATCTGGGAACTGAAGCTCGGGTGTCATGCCTTATCGACCCTACAACTAGACGATGGAGGGATAATGTGCTACAACTACACTTCAATCCAACTGATAGGGAAAGGATCAAAGCAATTCCACTCCCTAGAATACCTCAACCGGACAGACAGGTGTGGAGCTTAGAAAAAAGGGGCCATTATACAACAAAATCTGGATATTGGGCGTGGAGGCAGAGGCTGAAGCTAGAGAGAACTGACTCAGAACAAGGTGAGGTTTATGATCCCTTGAATTGGAGGAAAGTGTGGAAACTACCGGTTCCACCTAAAGTAAGGCTGTTCATGTGGAGATTCTACAGAACATTCTACCGACAGGAAAGAACATAGAAAAGAGAAAAAAGGACGCAGCGGTGAACTGTCCATTCTGCAATTTGGAAGAAACCCAGGAGCATATTTTTGCGGAATGTGCATGGGCAAGAAGAGTTTGGGAACCCACTGAATTCATATCGATGTTCGAAAAGCGGGGAAATTTATCATGCACATCATGGTTCTGTGAACTATCAGAGGAGAGCGAAGAGGAAAATCTAGCAAAGTTCGCGATGATCCTATGGAATCTATGGAATGAACGAAATAACCACTTGTTCAACAAGAAGAAGGCAGAGGAGTGGGAATAGTGGGAAAGGCACTATCCTATCAGGAGGAATTCCTATCAGCCAGACAAAAGGAAGAGGAGAGAAAGGAATGCGTACCTGTGAAATGGAAGAAACCTCCGGCGGGCATTGTGAAATTAAATGTCGATGCGGCCGTTTTTAGGGGGAAGGGACTGGAGCAGGGGTGGTAGCGAGGGACTGGAACGGGCTATGCCTGATTGCTGCGGTACGACGAGATCGAAGAAAGTGGCGGCCAGAAATTGTCGAGCTCCAGGCCATCGACTTCGCACTGGACGTCGTGGAAATGAAGGGTTTTGTGTCGGTGGAAATCGAGTCGGATTGCTTGGAGGCCATCTCAAAGCTGAATGGTGACGTGGATGCCATAACGGAAGAAGGGGAGCTAAGCGCAGAAATTAGGGCCAGGGCCCATTGTCTGGGCCAGATCAAGTGGAAATTTACTAAGAGAAATTGTAATGAAACAGCCCATTTCTTGGCCCACTTTGGGTGCGGATGGGATACACAGGAATTTTGGGAAGAAAGGCCCCCTCTACCTTTATTACCGCTGTTGGAAGCGGATTGTAACCTAGCTGATGCTTAAGCAATAAAATTTCGAGCAGGTTCCTATAAAAAAAAAAGCTTCTTTGTCACGCATAGATAAACAAATATCCCTTAAACCATGGAATGTCGAACCACCAAAAGGCTCGGGGTAGTTACTGAAATCATCACTGAACTATGTGAATGTAACAAAATGATCACTCAACTTACATAACAAAATTGTCACTTAATTTTGTCAATCCGTAATAAAATGATGACTCTCCCTAACTTCCTCACTATTTTTCCGTCAATTAAGTCTAGTAAGAACGTGAACTCTATGTCATCCAATTCCAACCTATCTTGTTGGCCCCTAGCTTGACCCACCCTTAGCCATTATTAATGGCCCATCCGAAACCAAGCGATCTAATCATCCAAATAATAGCCTACCCAGTCTCATCTGTCTTTTGCCTACATATATATAAAGTATTAAACTTTGACCTGCAAAATTCCGGTCGTATAATCGTACCATTACACGAGACCTAACCTAAGCCCTGCCCACCCAGTAAACAAGAGATCCCTTCCCCTTTTCATTTTTGCATTCTCGCCGGAAACTTCTGCTGCTGCGGAGAGCCTGTGGATCGGGTTTTGTTAACAAGGGCTAGTGACTATGTTGTCACATTCGAAGTTCAGTGAGACGATTTAAGCAATTAACCCCAACTTTTGACCAACCCTTCATTTCTCGGTGTGCAATCAAACCCTCGACAAATATAGTTGAGGCGTTAGAACAACAGTAGAAACCAGAATTAAACCAAGACTGCGAGACGTTTGCCTCTTGAAGCAAGAAAATGGGGATTTTCTTAACACAATCTGAGCATTTTTCTAGATGCTAACATCGTTTTACTAATAAGTTATAACAAACAGTCCAGAGAAATCTAGACACAAAAGCAGAACAAACGATGCAATAAAACACACGGAAGTTCCCAAATGTAGACCTCTTGCCTCACAAGACTCTCATAACTTCCATTCCCGATTTACCCAAAATTGTTATAATCACCATAGCAAGAAGTTCCATGTCCAGGAAGCTCAAGGGTCTGCACATTCTCACTCTTCGCTCTTCTTCTTTTTCTTCTTCTTATCCTTCTTGCTAGTAGGTGTCTCTGTAGCTTCCTCTGGCTCTGAAGACCGCTTCCTCTTCTTCTTCTCACCATCTTGAACGTCATTCTGCTCAGCTTCAGCTTCTTTCTTCTTCTTCTTCTTTTCTTTCTTTTCGCCAGTAGCATCTCCATTTGTGATTTCAGCAACTTCCACATCTTTGCTCTTTTTCTTCTTCTTCTTGTCTTTCTTCTCTTCAGTAGCGGGAGCTTCCTCATCTATCTTCCTCTTCTTTTCAACAGTCTCCTCTCCAACCGATTTCGGTGTTTGGTCAAGAACAGCATCAGCAGAAGCGTTATACGTCTGCCAAAAAGAGCAATTAGTTCATTGAGGACACTTGATAAGTAGACTCAAATAGCTCAAGTATATACAGAAACCAAACCTTTGCAGGAGTTATCATTCCAGCTGCTCCCTTCTTTCTATCCTTGTCATAAACCTCAATCTTCGGCTTCCCCTTAACTGAACCTGCAGAGCGTCCTAATTCCTTGCCCTCGAGACTCCTCAATCGTGCTTCCAGCTGCAAAATCAGCTATCAGTACTTCTGAAATTCAAAACGAAGCGACTCATATGGAAGATGCTTTGAAATGTACCTTAAGACGGTTCTCTAGTCCCATGGAGTTATCCTGACCATCTCCAAGAGCATCACATCGAATAGCAAGAGAAGCTTTAGCGGCAAGTGACCTAGAAATCTTCCCCTTCATCTTAGGTGCCGCTTGACCAACAAGGGATGCATGGTAAATCAACCCATATTTAGGTGTGGCATGCTTTGTCTTCAGAGCTCTGAATAGGGCCTTTTCTGCTCCAAGAATCTGGACTGTGCTCCCTGGCTGCTTGGCGAGATTCATCAAGCTACCTCCATGGGCAATTAGCCGAGCTCCAACAAGCTCTCCGACTAGAGCAGTCAAATTAGGTGCAACAGTGTTCATCCTACTTTTCAGGTAGTCGTACAGTTGGGCCCTGTATTCGGATAGAGACAGGACCTGGTCACAGAGCTGCCTGACATTTGCAAGGTCATGCTCACTCACTTCAGTCCCCATTGATATGTTGGCTGCTTCCTTCACTTCTGCCTCAACCTCCTCAGTTAGTATCTACAAAATCAAAGAATAGTTGTTGTCATGCCATCAACTTGTAACTGAAAAACCAATAACCTAAAATTCGAAACCAGAACCATTTGCATATTAACAATAACCAGGTAACCATTGACACATCTAACAAATGTCAATTGCATTAACAGGAGTGGAAGTGGTTAGCCAACCCTAGACCCAAAAAAACATGTAAACCGCAATTCCAATTCCAGAAATCGTTGGCCTTTTGAGAGAAGCCAGGATATATACCTCAGAGAAATCAAGTTTTGTAGCATTCTCACGGAAACCCATAAACTTCACCACTTTAGAATAGACAATGGTATCTTGAACAATCTTGGCCAGCTCTGGAAAATGCCAACCATACCATTCCCTGACTCTCATTGCATAAGTATTAAGCTCCTTATCAAGATCGTCAAGCAACCCAATAGCTTGAATAATCATAGTATCAACCTGGAACATTAAGAAGAAAGCAATAGGTCAAATATAGACACAACTATGCACAGAAATGATGGAAAACAGATGCATCAAAGAAGTGAAGGTACCTTATCAGCGCTAAACTTCAGCTTGTATCTAGACAAGCTATGAGACAAACCAAGGCTCATTGGTGCCAGATCTTGGTTCGCCAGACCAGCTATAAGTTCTGTTAACTGACTCCTCACACCTCTCATCAATTCCATGACAGCATTGTTGTGAACACAATCGATTTTCTGAAATTCCAATCAACAATCCAATTTAGAAAAGCTGGTATACAGAAACACACACCATGCTCAAGCCCAACTGGGAGCTTTTATGGTTATCACTTGACATAAAATCATACCAATTTCTCCTTGATTGAATTTCCCAGCTTCGAGTCAGCCACAGCCAATTTCTCGCCTTCACAATGAGCTTTCAGGAATTTTCGAAGACCTTTCGTGGTCGAGCCATCGATGATTTTGGTCGCTGCCTCTAGAGCATCAGCCGTGTTGTCAAACTTGTCAAAGGCTTTCAGCTTCACCACCTATTTTTTCATAAACCACTTGTCAAAACCAAAGAGTAAAGGCAAAAGACAATCTCATAATCTATAAATGTAACTAGACAATCTCAAGTCCAAGTGGAAAATGGATATCTACCTTTCTCGCAGAGTCCGAGCTCGAGAACTCCTTCCACAAGTCCTGAAACAAAACCCAGAAGATTAAGCTTTATAATAAACAAACAAAAAATTGCTGCCAGTAAGAGCATGTTCCCATCACTTTGTTAGTACACTAAAATGTTTGCTGGTGACTGAAGCTGTCCATAAATCTATACCTCAACTTTGGATAGCTTTCCTTCATCTAAAACTTTGAAAAGCGCAAAGCCCGCCGGAGTCTCGAACAACACCAACATCTTCTTTAGCAAAACCTAAATAATCCTGCATATGAACACAAAGACATAATTTTTCACTATGTTTACAACTTGAACATTCACAACCAGCAGCTCAAATGAAGAAGAAGAAAAATAAAACCCGCAGCCCCAAATACGAAAACCAGGAGCCCAGAAAACGTGAACCAGTAATGATTCGCCAAGCAACTCAAAAGCTTAAAAACCTAAATGGGTAAAGGAGAGGACCGACAAAAGAGGTCCCGACTTTCTTCAAACACCACAAAGAAGAGATTACAGAGAAGTAGAAACAGAGTCGTGAACCACTAATGACTACCACATGTTCAACAGGATCTTCATTTTGTAAGGGAACTGAAAAAAAAAGGAGGAAGGCTCCATGGGGAAAACCTACCTACGTTCAGCGCCTTGGAAGGAATGGTAGCGCCGTAGCGGAGGAGGCAAACTAGGGCTTTAAGCAGGGTTTTGAGCAGAAGTCTTTTTGCGGTCATATGCTGCTTGTGCATTATATATTAGGCACGAAGAATTTGTGAATTACTAAAAGGTCCTCCAAGTTTAGGTAGGGTTATAAACCAACCAGGATCCGAAGGGCCCCCTAATTGGATTAAAGCCCAGAATCTGTTTTGACAGCTTGGGCCACCCTGAAATAGGGGAAGAAGATGGCATTCGTAGCTCGTTTGTGAAAGAAGAAGCCCAGCCCAGTCAAGTCAAGTTGGGGGAGGCCGGGAATCGAGTCATTAGTCCCAATCTCAATTCCTAATTATTTGTTTGGTATCGGTATGTACCAAATATCAAGCTAAATCCCTTGAAAATCACAAATCCAATATAGCTTAGCTTGGACTTGCGATAACTTTTGCAGAAGCAGCTTCTGGCTGGAACTTTTAGATAAGTACTTTTCAAAAAAAAAAAAAAAAAACAGTTGAGTGTTTGGCTGTAAAACTATTAGAAGTATTTTTTAATGTGAGAGATTATGTAAAATGACTATAAAGAACTTATAATATAAAATAAAAATAAAAATTCTAAACAATAAAAAGTAGTCAAAATGGATTTTGTTAGATTTCTTTTATATTAAATAATATGATTTTATAATTTATTTTATTTTTAAAATGATATAAATGAAGAAAAATTATATTTTCTTAAATAAAATTATAATATGGTAAGGATAATCTTGTATTTTCAAAACATCTTTTCGCAGAAGCTCCAAATCGGAGCTTCTGCTTTTATGTTATACAAAAGCGCTTTTCGGCTTTTCAAAAGCCGAGCTTTTACAGGTGTTTGGCCCTGCTTCAGCTTTTGAACCCGAAAAGCACTTCTAAAAGCCGGGCCAAACATAGGGTATATAAACACAAATAATTCTCCTTTGTCAACCACGCCAGAAACCATTATTAAAATATATAAAAAAATAATAAATGGTGCCAACACTCTTGTAAAAATAAATGAGAAAAAATCGCAAGTATAATAATAACAAAGTAGAAAAATGTGATGTCTAAAAAGCACATTAACAAACTAAAATAACAAACTGAAACATGAGACGACTAAACAACTCATAAACATACTAACAAGTAAGAAAATAAGCATGATATGGGTTGTCAAATAGCGAGAGAGTAATCTATGTGTAATTAACTGACCATCCTGGTGGAGTGGTGGTTGAGGGGGTTGGTAGAAGTGAATGAAGGAGCCTAGTAGGGAGTGATAACGCACACTAGCTTATATTTCGGTATAATATCGATGCCAATCCCGTAAACCCTAATACCGAATAGCACTTGAAATGCAATATGAATCTCAATCCCATGAAATAATATGTGTATTCGGTAATATAATATATCGATAAATTCGGTATGGTATTCGATATATCTCAAACACCGGTACCAAACTTCCAGTCCTACTCACACCCTTTTTTGTGAGTATATACTCACACGGTGAAGATGGAGGTTATGCGGGTGGAGTTAAGATCCAAGGGTTGGGGCTTAGTGGTTCAAGAAAGGGCTCATCTCATTTAAGTGAATTTTGGTGGCTTTTTGGCTAATAGTCATGTCACCCGAGAGAACTAGTATCCAAAATGAAAATACTAGTATGTATCTATCTATGTTTAGGGATTCTCTCTCTCTTCTTTATTTTGAAAACATTGATCTTCCTTCTCTCTATGAATTTTGATCTGATTTGGTCTAGCTCATCTACAGATCATTGGAGCTTGAAGTTACTCTAATAGAGATATGATATGCGGGTTTTGTTCCGTGGTGGGCTTTTTCTCTCCCACGATTGTAATATTTTTTTTGGATTTCTTTGTTTTTTGGGTTTTTTTTGTATTGCCTTTCTAGGTTTTTTATAGATCGTTGCTATTTAATGACATGATACCATTTCATAAATGTTTTTTTTTCTGAATACTAGTTCTCTGCGGTATGGATAATCTTCTCTATTATATGGATATCAGTCCGTGAATGTGGAATCCATATTGTTTTCATGATGGATATCATTTAGCAAACCTTGAATACTAGTTGTTTTTAATGTAGATATTAGTTCGTAATTGATTTGCTTTAGTTGGTAATTCTTTGAGTCTAGATACTAGTTCTATGATGCCAGAATACTAGTTAGTGCTATATGGATACTAGTTTGTGCTCTCAAGTGTCATTGATTCAAATGTTGCATATATTGAATTGCACTCTTGAATGTGTAGAAGCGATGTAGAATTCTTAACATAAAATTAATTGTTATAACTATCATAAAGTAACGATATTTTTAAACACAAAACTTTTGAGTGAATATGGGGCACATGTGTCTTTAAGAGAGGGGTAAATATGGAAAGGTTGAGTGATGTTGGTTTGCCAAACGCGGATGGAAAAGACATTACTAATGTAAACGGGTCCAAATAGTGCTCCGACCCACTAAACGCTCAACCATCGCGGTCTCTCCAAACTTCTCATCAGACTCAACAACCGGGTAACCTCCTCTACCTCTATTGTTAAGCCAGAGCAATTTTTGGAGGGGTAAATATGGAAAGATTGAGTGTTGTTGGTTTGCCCAACGCAAATGGAAAATGTGCTAATAATGTAAATAGGCCCAAATAGTTTCCACCCACTAAACACTCAACCACCAGGTTACTTTCGCTACACCTAATATAAGAGTGAAATGGGAAATGTGCTTCCCCCATTACAAAATCCCAGCCTCCATAACAAAAGTAGGAAGGGTAGATTCGTCTTCACAGTCATTTATTATTTCTTATTCACAGGAAAAATACATAAGTGATCGGATTTGAATTTTGTCTCTTTGAGAAAAGACAAGAAACATAACCAGTTACACTAAACAAATTTGTTTAAACTTTTTAGATAAAAAACATACAGGAAGCTTAAATCTGAAAAATTATTGGAATTTTACATCACAATTAGCTAAGCCACTAACTCTCCCCTAAATATTTTTTTTGGGTATTTGGTACTTCTATTTTCATACTTTGATTATTTTAATTCGAGTTTAAAAATTAATTATATTTCTCTTTATCTTATAAAAGGAGAATAATTTTAAAATCGCAAGCCTAATGTCATTGGTGCAAATAATGCACATCATACTTAAATAATATAAATACCAAAAAGCAACAATATTTTTGAACATAGAAGTTTTGAGTGAATATGTGGCACATGTGTCTTTAAGTGAGGGGTAAATATGGAAAGGTTAAGTGATGTTGGTTTGCCGAATGCGGATTGAAAAGCCGCAACTAATGTAAATAATTCTAAATGGTGTCCCGACCTACGTACTGAACGATTAACCATCGTCGTCTCTCCAAACCTTCCCATCGGACTCAACAACCGCCTAACCTCCTCCACCTATATTGTTGAGCAAAGCAATTTTCGGAGGGCTATATATGGAAAGATTGAGTGTTCTTGCTTGGAGAGCTGACTGGTGGGTTATTTAGTTTCTTTGACAGTAATGTGTGATCTCTTAACATCAGTTCATTTGGTTGATCTTCTAGGTTAACTTTTGAGTTTATTAAAGATAAACAGTGTCCCGGGCTCCCGTCCTACTAAAGGCTCAACCATCACCGTCTCCTTCCCATCGGACTCGACAACCGCCTATCTTCCTCCACCTATATTGTTACACAAAGCAATTTTCGGAGGGATATATATGTAAAGGTTGAGTGTTCTTTCTTGGAGAGCTGACTGATGGGTTATTTAGTTTCTTTGATAGTAATGCATGATCTCTTAACAACTGTTCATTTGTTTGATCTTCTAGGTTGACTTTTTAGTTGATTAAAGATAAATAACTATACTTTTTGTTGCTTTTGTTATGATACTCCTTTTCAGTATCATCATTTTTCTGATTTGAAATATTTTGGTGGTTAGTTTCTAGTAAACAAAGACTATTCTGATTAGTGTTGACATAGGGAATAGCTTCAATCATGCCACTTTTACACAAAATTTATATGTAAGAGCTGAGATCATTGCCGAATTGAACTATTCAAACTATAATGCTGATCTTCAACATATAAAACATAGTTTATTTTTAGTGAAACAACCTCATGGTTGCAGATAAGTTTTTACAATATGATGTTTTGTGATAGTGTTTACTTGCTTCCAGATTTTCTCTAGCATAACATATATTATTCTATTATTTTATATCTCAGTGGCTAAAATATAATGTATTTTAAAGTTATTAAATGGTTTGACCTCGACCAACCTAATTAGTCCAATTTTTATAATTTCAAATATATATTATGTAATTATTTGATATCCTAATGATTAAATTATAGTGTATTTTATATGGATTTTTTATTCGGTTTTCTGGAATTCGATTTCTATAAAATTTACTCCACCTCATCGTATTATCAAAAATAATACTGTTTCACAAGGTAACAGGTACTCGAACTTGGTTCATAAGACTGTTTTTTTGATTCGTTGCATCATCCATGCCTCTTTCCTGCTAAAATTCACTATCTTTATCATGTGTTTCCAAAAAAAAAAAAAAACTACACAACAATAAGCTATACACCCCATTATATTCTCAAATTTCATATCTCACCTTCCTCCAGCCAACTGGCCGGGGCCCACGCTAGTTCATGTTTACTAATCGATATAAAAATTGCTACCAAGTGTACTGATCAATATCAGTTAGCAAACCTTGATTACTAGTTGATTTGATAGTGGATATTAGTTGTAATTGATTGATTGAGTATTAGTTGTGAGTCTGGATACTAGTATGTGCTCTATTGATACTAGTTCATTAAAATAAATGCTACCAAGTGTTCAACAAAACATGGATACTATTTCAACACTGACAGATACTAGATTGGGCGATATAAATATTCGTCCGTAATGCTTTCTCTCTCTCTCTCTCTCTCTCGCTCATGTGAGAATAATTGGTAAGTGTCATTAAATACTAGTTCATGCATTTAGGATACTGGTTTTTGAAATTTTTATACTAGTTTTCTCGGCTGGCTTGGCTCTCAACCAAAAAACCACCAAAATCCACTTAAATGAGCCCTTCCTTAAGCCACTGAACCCCAACCCTTGGATCTCAGCTCGCCAACATCCACATGGCCTCCATCCTCACCGTGTGAGTATGTACCCACAAAAGAGGGTGTGAGCACCATAGCTAGACTGGCGCTGACCAACTTCAACCCTCTCATTCAAATTTAGTCATCATTCCTTTCAAATACCCATTTTTAGTATCTTATGCAAGGATGACATGCATAAATAGATTCTTTGGAAAATCATTTTTGAACTTCTTAATTGACTTTTTTTTACACAAATACTACAACTTCTTAACTTTAGCTACCTTCCTTTTTTTCAAATCTATTTTACATAAACAATGGCAGAGCCACTGCATTGTAAGGTGGGTCCCTACTTGGGAGAAAAAATGAACAAAAATAGATACGATAATTAGGTGTCGATAGGATCGAAACTCTAATCTTATCAATATTAATCAATATTTCTATAATCAAACTACAACAATAATGATTTTTATCGTCATTGATATATAATACATTAATCCAAGTTTCTTCATAATAATATAAAACCTAATAAAACTTCATAATTCAGGACTAAAATCCTTAATTTTATATATTACTCATCTTTCACCAAATCCTCTTCTTGTTTAAACTTTCTATCTTCTTTTCAACCTAATAATGTGTTCTCTAATAATCAATTCAGATTTGAACCCCAACTAGATTCTTATACGTATAAATTTAAGAAAATCAACAAGTTTTTTTAGAACCAAATAGAATTTCAGAATCTTCAGGACCATGATCATCAAAAGAAGCACTTTAGCATTGTCTACTAGTCTGTTTTACAAGTTTTGAAAGAACATTTGCAATGAGATACATAAAAACAATATTCACTTTGATGAACTAATTAATTTATAGATGACTATTTGGTAGAAATATATATAATAAGACTGACACCATATCAAAGTGTCTTCCAAGTTGTTTAGAATATGAAAATATGTTGTGGAACACTGTCGAATTTCTAGAATTGTCCTGCAATATTTTGTTTTAAATTCAAACACATCTTATATGAAATCCTGGCAACGCTAGTGCACTTAAACTATACGCATGGGCATTACTAATCCTCTTTTTTCACTATGATTTTCCCAAAAAAATTATTCAAATCTCAAGATTTTTTTAAAAAAAAAAATAGATATTGAGAAAATTTTTATTTGAGCACCCCAAAAATAAAGTGGGACAGTGCTAGAATGCTAAATGGTTTTTGGCATTTTAGCACCCCATAATGAGTTTGGCTCCAATAAAGAGAGCCAAATGCCAAATTTCTTTTTTGTATTAATCTAAGGCTTATTTGCTTGATGGATTTGATGAAGAATTTGGTAATGGATTTGGGTTTATGATGAACTTTGTCCAAAATCCATTGTTTGCTTCAAGTATTTAGAGGTAACAAATCTGTGGGACCCATGGACTTTGAGGGTCAAAATCCGTGAGCCCCACACACTTGAAAATCCCACTTCTTTAGGTGAGAATTGATCATGGACTTTTAAGTCCATCATTTTTTACCAACCTACCCCTCATATTTTCTCTCTTCTTATATCATTGAGGGCAATAAAGGTAAAGTTCACTTCATACATACAAATTTAATTAAAAAAATACATATTGAAATCCATGAAACAAACAATGATATTTTTCAAATCTATAATGATCCCAAAACCCTCATATATCCATGGTTAATCAAAAACCCAAATTATACCAAAACCTTCATTTTTCAAATCCACGAAGCAAACGACCCCCTAGTTTAATGTAGATTTCATTAGTTTAATTATATAGTTTGTAGATTATTTGTATACATGTAGAAATAATTAAGTAAGGCAAACATTTTGATGTAATTTTTTTAATTTCGACATAAAACATTGTCGTTAAGTATAACGTCATTTATCACAAAACACAATAATTTCTTTAGGTGACCATAGATTCAGACATGTTTGTCATATTGAGTTGCACCACCAAATGTTCGTTTGGATTTAGTCAAAATGAGTTGTGCCATCAACTGTTTATTTAGATTTAATCAGAATGAGTTGTGCCATCAACTATTCATTCAATTTTAATCAGAATGAGTTGTGTCATCAACTGTTCACTCACCTTTAGTTAGAATGAGTTGTGAAAGCAATTGGAAGAAAGATTTGACCATTATTGAAGAAGGAATCATTTTGTGCTTATGTAAATGAACCATAAAACTTGGTCAATACTCATCCATCTATCAACCTTCTTCCATGGAAAAAATCCATTCAACCTTCATTCTCCTCTCTTGCCACCCAAAACTCTTTGTCTTCATGGACTCCCTTGATAGAGAAGCTGATGAGAGGGAAATAGAACCTGATGATATGCAATGAGAGTATGAGTGTCAAATCGATCGTGAACATACAGAGATGTTCATGATGTATGGAACAAGCATGCATGAACAACAACCAACATCATCTCATGATAATTCATCATCACGAAAATCAGTGAGGCGCAAAAAGGAAGATCACAAGAGATTGATGTAAGATTACTTTAACCCAAATCCATCATATGAAGCCAAAGCCTAGACGATATTCTATGCCCCCTACCTTATTCAATAAGGAGTATGAGTGCCAACTTGATCGTGAACGTATAAAGATGTTCATGATGTATGGAACAATCATGCGTGAACAACAACCAACATCATCTCTTGGTAGTTCATCATCACGAAAATCAGTGAGGCGCAATAAAGAAGATGGTCACAAGCGCTTGATGCAAGATTGCTTTAAACCAAATCCAACATATGATGCCAAAGCCTTCATAAGATGATTGATTTGGGCTTAATTGTACACTTTTTACCCCCGGTTTCCTTAGTCGTTTTAGGCATTTATACTCCATGAGGTTTGGTTTTACGCTGGGTTTTGTCTCGTTTTTGTGCATTTCTGTCCATAGCAGGTGGAATCAACCGCAGAGTAAAAAGTTGGACAACAAGGCGCAAAATCAGGTCAAAGGATGGAGGCAGTAGCAGATCACGGTGGAACTGGAGCCGCAAACCGTGAGCAGCAAGGAGTCCATAGCCAATTTTACTCTCACTAGACTCAAGTCAGTTCATGATCGTAAGATTGTGAACCCAAGCAGCATACCGTGAGCTGAGTTAGTGATGTTGTGCGTTTTGGCCCGAGATCACAGTCCCCGCCTTGAGTTCACGGCCGTGAACTGGGACCGTGATGTGAGCCCGACGTGGGTATAAAAGGAGATTTGAGCTGAAGGAGAAAGAGGAGGAGACCTTGACTGAGAAAACCTTCTTTTTCAACATTCTGGATAGAGAAAGTGACAAGCAAGAAGAGAGAAGAAGCTAGGGTTTCACTCCAAGGCAAGGATTTGGGAAAATCTTCCCAAAGGAAGATCTCTTCTACACAAGGAAGGATTCAAGCATCTCCATGATGGTTTTTATCTTTCTCCTTTTGTTTTTCCCTCTCTTAGCATGGAGCAGTTTCCCTTTTCTCTTGGGTGTTTGCAAACACTAACTTCTACCATGTGATTGATTGTATGAAATGATTGTCTATGTGTGGGTGTGTTGTAATACAAATTTGGAGGTTTTTTCATGGAAGATTGTGTCGTGTGTTTGCCTATCAATCTATTTGTCATTCTAAA